GGCCATGGTGGGCCCCGTGCCGGCCAGCTGGAGGCTCAATCTGTTGAGGGGGTCCGCCGCTCAGTGGTGGGAGGTCGGCTGGACCCACAACGACGGCCCGACCGTTTGCCCCGGCCTCCCCTCTGACCAGGACGGGCAGCTTGGCACGACCAGCCAGGGATGACAGCTCCACACAACGAAAACCCACAAGACACAGCCAGAGACAGAGGAGGAGGAAGAGGAGGAGGAGGAGGTGAGAGGAGAGGATGTCGAGGTGGTAGCAACTTTAAGGAGGGAGGGAGGGAGCAGGCTCCTCACAGCAAGGCAGCAAAAAAGCAGCAGAGCGAGGTCCAGGCACATTGCCAACTGCAGTGAGAAGCAGATTAAGACAGACAGCAAAGAAGAGAAAAAGTTTCAGATCAAACTAATGAAGGGGGGAGGAGAGAAAGAGAGGAAGGTGAAGAGGGAAGATAAAAGAGTAAAGACAGAGAGGAAGTAAAGAGGTACATCAAAAAGATCAGAGAGAAAAGGGTTTAAGGACAGAGATTCTCAGTGTTTGGACTTTTACACAAGCAAAGGGTTAATGTCTTTACTGAGTTTTAGGATTGAACCTGTCACATCAGTTACATTGACCAACGGGAACTAATGGAACAGACCACAAGTCCAGAGTTTAAGTAAATTAATTTAAGGGGGTTACTCTTCCTTCCAACATCATCACATTGCCTGTGATTATAGGCGTGTTGCAATATTACCATATTGACTATAACTTAAAAAAAAAAGTATTGATATTGTTCAAAAAATACCATGTGTAACTGGCTTGTAGTTGCTACATGCCAAATAACAAGGAAACAAGACAGGGAAACAGCTCCGGTCAGCAGACTAGTTGTCAATATGAAGTGATTTGGTCAAGCCACAGCCTGAAATGACTGCTCTGCTATTGCTCTGATCTGACACAGTAGCTGCGTTTACATCGGCACATTTAATCTGAATAAATACCCGATAGGAATAAAAAGTCATGTAAACATGTCGGTTGGAAGATTCTGATCCAATCAGAAAGAAATTGTATTCCGATTGAGAGGGTTGGTTTGTGCCGATCGTTATTCCGAAACGCATCCATGTAAACACTTACTCTGTTCGTGACTCTCTTACCTGACTCGATTAGCCTTCACCCTTTAGCCTTTGGCTTATTTATTGAGGCCAGTCCAGGAGGTTTCATTATTAACACTCTGGCATAAAACACAACCGCAGGTACCGTGTCTGCTCCTCCGGTAACATAACAAGCGACATGATGTCACATCTGCACTCACGGTGCAACCTTTGACAGAACAGTGAAATGAGTACGCATTGGCACCATCTAGTGACAACATTTATCAGGAAAAACTCCTGAATTGGATGGAGCGAGCCACTACCGCATTTGTTGGTTTGTTGACAGCACAGGCATAAATACAACTTTTCTTCTGCGGTTGTTTCAGCGAAATACGACAACTCTGTACTTGTCCAAATGCCTCTAATCTGAGTAAAACTTGGTGCATGTATACGCACGTCATGATCGGATTATTTGACTTGCACCCATATAAACAGTGGATTCAGATTATCAGATCCCTTACATTTTTAACCTGATCAAGAGGTTTTGCACATGTAAACGTGGCTACTACTGACTCCAAAAAGATTGATACAAGAAAGAATACCATGTTTCTTCCCTAACGCTAACACTCAATAATTGCCCACTTTTGTTTCTGAAGTGAAACAGAGACATCAGGATGGTCCATTTCTATGACATAAGGGTTGTTAATGTGTCTATTTTGGGTGTCTGGCCTAGTAAGCTGTGTTTACATTGCAGCTCTGGAGCAGTGCCATAGAAAAGTTCTGCCATCACTACTCCTTTGTATCAACACATTGAGCCCTGTAATTGTGTACTCTTGGTGTAACAGTGTGTGATTTCAGGTTGCATTAAAGGGATGTGGAAGAGTGAGAGGCACAGCATGTAAACACAGCTAGAGCTCCACATACACACACATTCAGGTATGCATATTTCTCCCTTTATGCCTCTGTTTACTACCTCTAATAGGAAATCAGGTGGAGCAACTCCACCTCATGTGAAACTAAACCAAAACTCAACAATGTTACAAGAACAGCACTTTTCAGGCATTTCCTTAAGCTCTGTCCACATCATTTTTTTTAATGCGTAGAGTCATGTAAATGTATGTGTTTGGTCCTCTGTGTGTGTGTGTGTGTGTCGTTATCAGCCTGGTTCTTTGCTCTCTCTGACAGTTTGATGCAGGGCACTGAGGTTACATCTGAGGGAGTGTTTTTAGCGGTCACCAGTCTACTGAGGAGACGCTAGCTGGCACCATCTGGTCCTGAGACCCAACGTTTATCTGGCACAGTCTTGGCCAATGTCCATACCTGCTTGTTCGACACACGCACACACACACACAGTACACGCAAACACACACACTTTCTGGGGGTCAAGCTACCCTAAACGACAGGCTGGGAGCAGATGTCCGTCAACCCTCCCAGTCCAGTTAATTAAGCAGCATAACAAACAGCTAGGAGACAACACACACACACAGACACACACACACAAACACACACACACACACAGTGTATACTGCATTTGCCGAAAGACAGATCATTGGCCGTTTGTCCTTACTGCAAAGTAAAAGACAAGATGCAAGGACAGTATAGGTCTTTGAGTGTTTCTCTGCATACATCCTTTTGTCATGCAGAAGCTGCGATCAAAAACACATTTCTGTGAATATTCCCAATGACAGCTGATCTATGAGGGTCACAACACATAACACAGAAGTTGTTTTGGTTCAGGAGTCAGCTGCTCTTGATGCTGCTGTCAGAAATGAATCTAAATACATGCCTGATAGCTAAAGTTGAAAAAATAGTTTTACCTGGCAGATTTTGACTACCTTACTACCACAGAAGTGCATCACAACACCTGCAGGTGCTTGAGGATTGTACTGGATTCAGTTATTCATAAAAACAGAAAAGCTGCCTTAGTAATGAGGTAGAAAAGAAATGCTCTGATGTATTGGTAAAATGTGCTCTCGATTGGCAACATACAAGAAATGATGTATAGTAGGGGAGTCATTACAGCAAATCATTGTCTTCTTACTAGTTATTCAGCTGTGTCAAACACATGATTCCTATAGGTTAAAACCCCACAAAGGGTAATTAACTCTAAGGGTTTTGTCCGACCATGTCTTGAATCTATTTTGCATAACCACCTGCTCACTATGTATTATCCTAAACTTAGAGTTGAAGGATAATCCAGAGTGAGTAGATAGACGGTGAGTAGGACCATGACCTGAAGTGGAGGGGTCTTGTCTCTCTCTGAAGTGTTTTTAGTCTTTGATTTAAACATTGATTTTGTTGTTGTTGTTTTAAAACGATTTGCATGGCCCCAAAAATAGTTCTGGTCTATAAAATGTCACTGCCTAGTAAAGGTCTTCCTCCACCTCTGTTGCAAATAAATTTATATAAAATCATATGGAAAATGTCCACGTTGTAATTGACTGATTCAGAATGTAAACAGATTGACTTTTCTCCACAGTGTCGACAGGCAGGTGTGAAATGTACAAGATCTTGTACATATTTTGTACAAGAATTGTTTAATTCTGTATGTGGGATGTGAGGGGCTGTTTATGTTAGGGGCTGATTCAAGCAAATGCATATGAAGTTGCATTTGTGGTGTTGTGGTCCTGAGGTTAAAAGACTCACTCAGTTTTGGATGTATCTAAAAAGAAAACAAGAATAGTTAAGGATTCTCAAATTTAAGATTTTAACTTTCTATGTGAGCTTGTTTGTTCATCAGACACATTCCTCCGCTTTGATATGTGTGTGTTACTCGGCTGGCAAGCCTGTGTGGTTGAGTGTGGCATCATATCAGTGCTGCTGAAGGGCCTCAGTGTTTCGGCCTCTATTGTCATCCTAGCGGGCCGTGGGGTGAAGTCAGGGATTGTGTGATCCGATGAAGCGTGCTGTTATCAGAGACTTCAGCCCCGCTCATGAAGCTGACATCATCACATTGCCTCAGTTTAAAGCTGCACGATGCACAGCAGGTCACCGAGGTCGGGAGGAAAACCCCGAAAATATCACTGCTGAGCGTGGGTTGTTCATGAAGTGTTGGTGGAAGTTTTAACTTTAACAGTATGAGCAAAGAGATGCACTATGCATACTCTGCTAGAGTACAGTGGCCCCACTGGCTAGTTAAAACATCAGTGTGGCCTTCACAGCGCCGTTTAAGCAATCAGACGTTCAACGTTTTGTACCTGTAAGGTCCTCAGACCATAAATAATGTAAAAATAAGCAACACAATTTATGAGAATAAAGAAAGCTGCAGGCATTAAGAAGTTCCAAAAGGTTTCCATAGAGAGAGGAAAAGATGTAAAGGTACTGAAACTGCTGCTGATGAAAAAGGCTTACAATGTTCTTAAACTATCAATATTCAGAGGCTCAAAACTTAAGCTTGTGTTTTTGAGGCAATTCAACTCAAAGCTCAGTCTCAGAATAATAAAATGTCACCAGTGACTTATCTGTGCCACTGCAGTTAAGAAACAGAAACAAACACTCACAGTCAGGCCAGAGTAAGTGGTTTGGGTATCACAGTGGAACTCTTCTGCCCTCTACTGGTTAAAAACTAGAATTTGTGCTCATGCTAGTGTTGTAAAAGTCAATTAGACAAAAAGAGGGGCCAATGAGTGCACTGAGGTTTAGAGTAAATGTCAATTCTTTGCTAAGAGAAGCTTAAAGGATGTTGGTTAGAAAGGAAAGTAATGTTAAAAAGTCTGGTGGCTGCATGGATAGCCAGTTCGATTTTAATGGGAATGATTATGACCTCTGTCTTTTGACACTATGACATATTCGTACAGTTTTCTGTTTATTTTTAAAAAAAACCACACTGTTTTCCTCAAGGCCACTGCCTCCAGACAAACGACAAATTCATGATATGAAACCTATCGAAACATTTGTCTCAGTGTCCCCAGTTCCCAGACAAAACAGACTCTGTGTTGTGTGTTGCCTCTCCTCTTTATTTCCAACTCCAAAAATGGGGTGCAGAAAAACAAGTAATACTCTTTACAAAGAGGACCACCAAGCATGATATGGTCAGTATGAGAATAGAAATATAAAAGAGAAGTTACTTAGAGAAAACACTGCATCCTCAGTGAGCATCCTTTTGCATGATGTTGTTAGAGCTTTGGTTTTCGCTGTTGTATGTTATGTTCTGCACAATCAAAACAGTCCTTCAAGGTGAGCCACTCAGTGATCACAGCCGAACATATCCATGGAGACCTTGTGTGGCTCAGGGATTAATTTGGCTGACAGAAATATCTCGGGGCTCTCAAAGTTGTAAAAGTGGTTGCCAACAATCACTGTAAGTTTTCCATCACGACACACGGCACCGTCCACCTTCTCAAAGAATGGCATGGGACGCCGGATTGCAACTCCATCAGGGGCCTCATTCATTTTCAAAGATATGACGTTCGGACCTGGATAAAGGCGAGATAACGAGTTCATTAACAGGTATAGATACTGTAGATGTATTTATTTATCTGCTTTAAAGTTTAAAACATCTAGCTGTTTATTTTTCTTTGACCAGTTCTTTTAGGGGACGTGAGTAATTTACCAGCACTTTATAATCAGGTACTTTACAGGTCATAAAATGTCTATTTTAAGACCTTCCAACTTATGGGGATGCAGAAGGTATTTTAGCATTTTTCCAAATAGACCCATTTTACAAAATTCAAATCATGCAGTGATACTAAATAGGCATGTGCCCCCTATGTAAACAACACAGTCCTTTCCAATGTTGAATGAATCATAACATATTCTTATCATTGACACTTGCCACCAGAGTTATGATTTGGCTGGTAGAAACAAATGTATTTGTTTTTGGCTCAATTTATCAAAGCTGTAATCAATCCCCAACCCAGTCTAAGCTTCCTCCATGATGTCATAATGCTCTGCTCTTCAGGTGTAGACAAGTGCAGGTAAGAGAAGGGAATCTAATGGCCTGTCACTATTCTCATTGAGAAAAGGAAGATGATGTTGTATGTAGGCTGTATCTGATGAACTAGGAAATAAACACCTAGAGCAACAAGCAATTAGCACAGACATGTCTAAATTAAACAGCCTAGGGGAATTAAGGTTGGCGGTGGTAGCTCTGCCAGTGGTAGCCACATTAGCAAACCAATTCTGTACCTTTACCTGCAAACACAGTGTGCTTTATTTGTACTGCTTTTGAGTGTTCTCCTACCCATGGCCAAGTCAATTAGTCAGATTTGAAATTTACATTCAAATGACTAGGAAATGAGGCACAAAGAAACATGCCTTACAAAGAAAACTTTAAATTAGCACTCTAGACCATAAACTGATGAGAAAAATATTAACTGATGTTGTAAATTAACTATGAGTAACTATCTCACAGAATTTTGAGAAAATACGAGGATTTGTATTGCCTTTCTGATGGCTTAGTAGTGGCTTTAAATGGTTTGCTCAAACAATTCTACAGTTGTTTCCTGATTTTTTTTTTTTTGTATATTCTAGGAGTTGCTGTCTGTATCTTTACCTTTAATGAAGAAAGCATGGTCCTCTTCGCAGACAAATGCAGCATCAATGGGACCATCAAAGCCCAGGACCTCTTTCACAGTCTTGGGATAACCGTCCAGGTGAACAAAGGGCTCACCCACGTTGTAAACAAACACATTTTCACCCTGAAGGAGGAGAAATTGTATATTAGTGCTTTCAGCTTGATGACAAATTGGCAAGATCAATATTAAGTGTGTGTGTTTGCCTCTGTAGTTTACCTTGAACATGTGAAGGTGATTATTATGTGTGAAAGCAGCGTCCACATCACTGTGCACCTCCCTGAAAAGATGCCCGATGGTATCAGCAGTCATTGTGTCGTTGGCGTCGTCTTTACGGAGGAAGTAGTGGCCTGAGAGAAACAGGAGTCACTTAGAGATGCAGCAAACAGTGACAATGTCCAATTGAAAAAGGACACAGTGCAAATGATAAACATTTCATCTGCCACCCCAACATGTCTGTGAAGACTGTCAGTCATCCAAGTCATCCATTGTCTAAACCAAAAAAACACTGGGACTTGGATCGTGTTCTTGAAGATGGTTCACCTCTCATCTAAAAGGCTTGAAACAGAGCTTTCAGACAGAGCTTGAAAAACGACTGTCTTTTTACATAAAGCCCCTGAGTCCATACATTATATTAATGCAATGTAGCCTGCAGTTCATTCTCACCTCTAAAGGCAAAAATGTGACCAACGCCGTCAGATGAGATGGCATCCAGGGGAACACGGCTACATCGTTCTCTTTCCAGATGGTTGCTCTCATTACCTAGACAATAGAAGAGCATAATGCTAATGTAAAACATGGACTTAAAATCTTTGATGGTCTCTTTGCAGCTTTCACACTGACTTCACCTTAACTAGTATCTATCTTCAAATCTTACACACTTTTGATATCCTTCTCGAACTCATGATTCACTGATAACTAACTGGATTTTAAATGGCATCTCAGTGTGCAGCTGGAGGAAAGTAAGCTTGTTGTGTTACAGAAAAGATATAATCAAACCAAATATAAACCAATAAAAGTTTTAGAATTCATTTGCAGTATAACGCTGAAAAAGTATTGTTGGAAACTTTGAACACATTTATTGTCATGGCTGATATTTTAATTATTTAAAGCTGTAAAACAACAGCATTTGTGCTTTTTGACCTTGCATGAATACACACATTTTTTACTTACTAAACTTGGAGCATCTCATGAAGAAGTCCTGGGCCTCTTTGGGGTAGTTGCCGGTCACTTCGCCAGTCTTGGGGTCAAATTTGGAGAACATGTGTCCATGGAAGCAGTAGTAGTTCCCCATGAAGCGGAAAGCAGACGTGCAGTTTGGCATGGATTCATACTCTTTCATAGCAACATACTTGCTTCTGACATCGTAGTGATAGATCGAGTGTCCTGCAGCAAACAACCACACATGAGATTAAAAGGATGTTTGACAAATGAAAATGACTTGAAGTACTAAGAAAATAATCACAAGGCTGTGAAATCAAATTTTAAATTGATATGTTATCTTCATATGGTGAGGATTACAGCACTAAGGTCCTTCAAACCCTGTAAATGTCTGCATCACGAGGAGCTACGGTCCTACACAAATTTGGAGAGACACTTTTCAAACTACAGATGTCTGAATTCTGATGATGTGAAGATATTTACATCAGACATTCATTTGTTGAGAGAAGCTAAATGCTTTGAGTTTGTTTCAAATTCCTTAAAACTCAAAATCACTCAGATCCTACACTATGGCTGTTGAATCATCTCACTTTTTTAACCCATTCTTTAAAAAAAAAGACTGTACTTGATGTAAATGTGCTTGAACTTCACAAAGGGATTCTGGTGTTCTCTGGTGCAGTGATAGTTTTCACTGTAAACAAACCCTTGAAGAAGATGACAAGGTCATCCCCACAATCTGCTTTAGGACACTCAACAGCAGCGTCCAGGTGGTCAGGAATTCCGTGGAACTCGTTAGAGATGGGCTTGGGGTAACCTTCCTCCAGTTTATGTTGGTGAAATCTGTACACCGAATGGCCCTGTATTAAAGAAGAAAGAGGGGTTCAAGATTAGGCTTACACAATCAAATCAAATCAAATCAAATCAAATCAATCAAGTCTTTATTTATATAGCACTTTACATACACAAAGTGCTCAACATAGCAGAGGAATAAAAGAAACAAAGAAAACCCTAATCTATCCCAACCCAACCCCTCTGTCTCACTCTGCAATCTAAGCACAATAGAAACATGTATTAAAATGCATGAACTTAAAGAGGGCTTGGTTTAATATAAACAGGAGTGTGCACACTGAGGAAACGCTGTTTTAAAATTAAGGACACACTGGAGGTTTAAAATAGAAAAACAAAGAAACATAAAATGAAATTTAAGAAATAATAAATAAAATAAAATAAAAACAACAGTAAAAGATACTAAAATAAGAGCACCAAAATAGCTCAATAAAAGATGAACCTGTCATTAAAACTAGAAGAAACTAATGCTAAAATACTTAAACAAAGTTAATGATATAAGATTTAGATATGAAATTTAGTTAAAAGCAGGACTAAAAAGGTATATTTCAGTTAGCTTTTAAAACCATTAAAATTAGTTGCAGTCCTCAGGTTTCCAGGTATGCTATATGAAATCTGATGCATTATTATTAGGTATGCTGGGCCAATAAAAAGATGCCTCACAGTATGTCTTGGTTTAAACTTAAGGTATTGTTAACAGAGAACTGCCTGAAGACCTGAGGGCTTGACCTGGCTCATAAGGTAAAAGCAGATTAGATATGTAAGATGGGCCAAAGCCACTAAGAGATTGAAATATATATATATTTTATATCTACTCAGATCTACTCAGGTACCTCAAACTCTTTTTCATGACAGATATGCAATGATGTTCGTGTAAAATAATGGACTCAATCATTTTCAAAATGATCTTGTGTTAGCGGGCCACTTTTAAACTCTTGGAGACTTTGAACATACCGAGAAGATGAACGTGTGGTCGTGTTCGCTGGCGTTGTGTTCATTGTGCATGCGGAAAGCAGCATCTATATCGCTCAGGTGGAAATGATCATCGTGTCCAGTAAAGGTCTCATTGTTCAGCTGTGCTTCGCCATGGAAGCCCTTGAACAGGAAGTGACCTAAACAAGGATACAGAATACAATGTTGAGATAGAACTGTTTCCACAGTTTAGACCATATGAAGAGTCTCAACCATTCCTCAGCTTACTCTTGAAAAAGTATGGGACTCCAGCTTCATTCACAGTCGCAGCATCCATCTCAATGCCCTCACATCGGTCAGGGCGATCTTCATAGCCAAGTGTGGGTTGATCTGTAGGGTGAAGGTCATCTGCAGGGCATAAATGCAGTTTTAATATTTCAAAAAAAAGTCTCACTAAGGAGTTTAAAAAACGATTTTTTTTTACCCACCATGAGGATTTTCCTCAAGCCTGGTAAAAAAGACAAAAAATAACAGTTATTGCTGATGCAGATCTCCTGCTCACTTTGCAAAGTAAAAACTGCTCCCCATTTAGGATTTAAGTTTCAATTCATGAGGAGCACAAGAAGTCACAATCTCTACAGAATCAAAGGTAAAGTCTGAAACTACTTACTCATCAGCCCATGCCAGAGCGAGGGCAAGGCAGAGACACAGAAGCTTCATGGCGACTAGTCCTATGAGACGGGAGAGGCAGAGGTGAGGAAAAGGTACCGTGGCAGCTGCTGCTGCTGCACAAGCTTTTATATCAGAGCCCAGTTTGTGTGGGCTGAGTAACATCAGGTACCAAAGGACGAGGAGTGGACAGAAATCCTGGTTAGCAAAGACGCCCACAATGTTTAATGTACTCCAGACAGTCTCCTCATGTCGTTCCACTTCTCAGACCATCTACTAGGAAAGTCAGTCACAGGGCAGCAGAGATTTAGATAAATCAAAATTCTTACTTTTCACTTACACCCCTAATCAATAGATGTGGACATACCTCACATGACTCTTTATTGCCAGGTGAAAACTCTTTGTTGTAAACATGGAGATGTAAATGCAAAGCAGATTTTAACGTTGACCTCTGCTGTTGTCAGGTTTTATCATTAATGACACCACCAGTTACTGTAGAATAAGCAGAATCTTCCAAACAATCTGCTCATAGTATGAGAGTTTATACCAAATTATTTGCTTTTTATATGAAAACATGAATTGAAAGAATAGTCCCCAGTGTACATTTCCATATATTCTGCATGTCTAATCCTGCTTAAATATTTTATTCAAAATATATTTAGAAGAAGTAATTTTTGAAAGTATAAAGTATGTTTGTTGAAAAGTTTAGTCTTATATTCTGAGAACATTCTGGGCATGTGCTGTGCCTGGTCAGAGTTGGCTCTGCATCCTGAACCATTTCCAACTCTGAGAGGTAACTAACCCCGATCACCCACGGAAAAATAAATACAAACTGCTGACCATTGCACTTTGCAGTCTGTGAAATTGCGAAGGTGGATAATGTTTATTAGTTGAACATTAACAGAGAGTAGTGAGATTGTGTGGTATAAACTACTTTGTAAAATAAAAAGTACTCAAGTTTAACTTTGTGTCACCTATATGGCAAAAAATATAGCTGTATAATTTATATTTCATGATCAGATTTTAATAGAGCATGAATGAAAATATGTTTTTCTGATTCAAAAACTGATGAGAGAACAATTTGAGATGAAATTCAGCGGTCATTGAGCTGCTACTGCCCGTGTAAGCCTTGGCTCCCTTTAATCTTGTTTCCCCAGTAGCAGCCAATTTTTTCGCTTTTCACAAGCAATATGGCGTGACAATTTGGCATTTCACACTGACTGCTCATGAAAGAAAAACCAAACAGTTGATGGGAAGACAAAGGAAAGCTGGACACACACAATTCAAGCACTTCTTGAAAGGTGAGAAACATCTCATGTGTCCTGCACTAATTACTGCTGGTCTTTGTCGTTTCACATGATGCTTACACTCTCGCTGTCAAGGAGTTTAAATGTCTGCCTGACGGAGCTGAAAATCATCATTTTCTATGGTTTACAAAGTTGGGGGGTCTCAAATAAAGGTCAGTGTGTGCCCGTGTTTGAAATATACAGTACAAGAATAAAAACTCTTTGTCTTGATACACAGCTATATTGAATTCCTCTGTTTTAAATGGTCGACAACAGGTATGGTACCAGTTGTTCAAATTTTATAAGCTAAAAGACATTAGCATTTATAACAGAGTTATAACTTTTAATCAGTTTAATAGGAGAACAGGCAATATGAGAACACAAATCTAGACGAAAACATAAATTTAAAGATTTTTACTAAAAGTGTGTTATCTTGATTGCAGTTCTTCAAGCACAAAGTGCTCCACGTGGGTGTGTTTGAATTTGTCTGTTTTTCTGGCAGGTGCACAGGAGGATGATGTTTCCACTTCTTTCCCCACAAACAAAACTCTGACTCACTGTTGTTTTAACCGGCAAACACTATTGAGTAAAAAAAAAAACAGACCATTTGAATGACCTAGATATTGGAGATATGAAGCGCAAATCAAAAGCAAAGAACCAGGGTAGCCTTGGTAATATAAATCAAGTTATGAGTCACGTAAAATAACTAGACTTGTATAGAACTGTAGGCTCTTTCCAGAGCTTGTTTTCTCAATGACCAGTGCTGATAATTAAAGATCAAGTCTGCTATTGGCCGATAATTAATACCAATATCATGTTGTTGATTTTTGCATTACAAAATGTGAAAGTAGTTATCTGAGTAATCAATGTGTTTTAGATGGATTTGTGATGTATTCCTATGAAAGACAAATACGTTGGGTTATGTTATTGATTACAGAACATTACATATTTATTTCAGAAGCAACACGAAACTGCATTACTCCACACATCATGAGAAAATGTAAGTAAACGTAACCCATTGGAGAGAGTTTTAGATTTGGCATGCTTTCATTCAGGATGAGAAAAAAAAGCTTTTTTAATTGGGGAACATTAACATTAACATTGCTCGACACTAGCCAAAGTGACAAGGCTGCCTGCAGTGTCTGCAAAAGTTATCAATTCATTTTTTTTTTTTTTTTACACCTGCTGCTGCTGATTAGCACAAAATGCAATTAATCAGCTCAACCAGTTAATCAGGATATCTCTACTTAACAAAAAAGACGGTGTCCTTTGAGATGTTTAAGCGAAGAGGACTTGATTCTAGAGGAAAACCTGTGATACACCATCCTCACCTTTCAGTATGAAAAACGTGCAGACATGCATCTTTGCCAACCCCTAATCAGCATAACAAAAACCCTTCATTTTCAGTAAATGTTAAAAACTACAGCAAAAGTCAATATATTTAATAGTTGAGGCTGTAATGAATAGCATAGATTTGAAAATAATTTCATAACCCACAACAGAAATCCTCCAACACACATACACACAAAGATTATAACATAGAAAGACACTTATGAGAGATCCATATCAACAAATGTGTCAAGTAATAGAAAATCATTGACCACAGAGCTGCTGGGGGCAGATTTGTAGCAGCATCACATGTGCAGAGTGAGCACAGACGGCAGCCAGACTGCACAGAGTCAAATAACTGACTGAATCAAAGACCCATACAAATTAGGCTTTCAAAGGCTTAACTGTGTCTTGCTATTATGATATAAACCGTGGTAATTTGATTATTTTAGTGTGCATGTTTAATCTGCTAATACTGCTAAAAGATGCAGACACAGCTGAGTATACATTGTTGGCCCACACTGCAGTTGACACTCAGACAAAACAAGGAGATAACAAAGGTTAACTTTGCCATGAGTGTGCAGTGCAGAGGCAAAGTGTTTAATCAGAGCTGGGACATCAACGTATAAACGAAAAAAGAAATGTAGTTCAGCTTTAGGCTTTTCTAAGAATTGGAAAATACTGACAACTTTGTGGCCTTACCTGCTTTCAAGCAAAACAACATTAAAACGAGTTCTTTTTTAAGGGGAACATTCTCAGTTCAAGGACTGCATCATCTCGAATATGTCAGGTATGTTTACAACAAAAACAAGCAACTGAAGTTCTTTTAGTTCAGGGGCAAGTCCTTGTTTTTTTTCTTTATTGTCTCTATCTGTGTCTTTTCATTCAGTTCAGATTTTGTGAAATAATTACACTTTGATTATGAACACAAAACAACATTTCAAACTCAAGAGACCTGGCTGTTTATATCAAATCTAAATTGAGCTGCGGATGTTTCTATCCAACAGAAAGCATGACAGTTGACTGACTGGTCAAGGAAAAGACTAGAATAAGAGCAAACACAAGCTGCCCTCTGACAGCATGTTTATACTTTTGATGTCCTCACAAAGTCTGCAGTATGCCAACAGTCACATGATCAGAAATGTTCAGCCAACATATTTGCACAAAGTTCAGTTTTCACAGTTATTGATGTAGATACTACAAGGTCAGATTCACCAAATAGTGACTCTGCAATCAGAGGTCCGACTCCTCCTCTTCATTCATTTCCTCGATTTTTGTGTGGTGATGATTTTATTGTTAATTATGAAAAAAATCACCTGAGTACATTCTCCAAAGTTTTATTATAGGAGGGAATGTAAGGCAATCTCTTGTATGTCTGACTGGTGCCACAGAAAAGTAAGGCCAATTTGTTGGTCAAGTAAAGCTTCGGAGAATTTACAGATGAAGCACCATTAATATGGTTAAAAAGTAAATAAGAATATCATTAACAGCACTAAAAGAAATCAAAATAGATTCTGTGTAAATATCCACCACAGCTCATCTTTCCTTGGATTAAAGTTCACAGTTTATCGTAATCAGATATGACTTCATTTTCAGACAGAGCCTGAAGTTCAACTTGCATCACTACGGCTCCATTTTTAGCCGTTCAATTTCCAAAATTCCTCAACCACAATCAGTAACAGCATTGGTTCATTTTCATCAAATATCAAGTCATCAGCCAGAAATCTTGGAGTTCAATTTGATTCTAACCTCACCTTTGCAGATCATATCAAAAAAATCACACAGTCTTGTTTCTTCCATTTACACTGTATCTTTAAAAAAAATTAAAATTAAAATCCATCCTCTCTTAGTCAGGCATGGAAAAAGTCATTCACGCCCTCATCTTCTCCCGCCTAGATAACTTTAACTCACTTTTTTCCAGTAAACGCAGAAATCTCTTTCCCGCCTCCAACTTGTCCAGAATGCAGCAGCTAGGCTTCTGACTGGTTTTAACAGACGACATCACATTACCCCTATTTTAGCATCTTTACATTGGCTTCCTTTTAAGATTTTACTCATTACTTTTAAGGCAGCAAAGGGTCTGGCTCTAATTTACAATCGAATCCTTGGGTGGGGGCCTCCTGGTCGTTCCAAAGTCGAGACGTGCAACTAAATGTGACAGGGCCTTTTCCATCAGGGCCCCTCGACTTTGGAACAACCCCTGAGGAGATCAGGTGTGCAGAAACAATCACTGCTGTTAAATCAAGTCTTAAAACTCATTTTGTAGACTTGCTTTTATGTGATTTTGTCTTCTTTAAAACCTTTTAAGCTTCTTAATTATGTTTTATAATAGTCCCCTTGGTCTCAGGTTTTTGTGATTGGGTTCCTGTGTTGGCTGGGTATCACGGGCTCTTATAATGTCTTTGTTTTAATGTCTTCATTTTCATGATGTCTCAGCTCATGTGACATTCATCAAAGCTTTTATGTCTTCAACCAATTTTTTTTAAATATTATTTTATTTCTTTATTGCCACTAATGTGACATTTTCCCCAAGTGTTCTCTTGTTGTTGTTTTTATCTTCTTTCTTTTCCTGCATGTTAAAGCACTTAGTAAACTCTTGTTTTTAAAAGTACTATATAAATAAAGTTATTTTTGTTATTATTACTATTATTATTATAATTATTATGATTACTATTATTGAGAACTGAGCAAGTGGTGTGGTACAAAAGGAGTTGTGTGGAAGGGACATCAAGCAAATTAAAGAAAACAGACACAAAAAAAAACACAAATTGCAACACAGGTTTGGCGGTGTTAAGCCTGGTTTTATTCCCTGCCCCAGACACTCTAACTCCATGGGTACATAAGCTGTTGTGAGCACTACGTACTTCTGCATTGGAGTGTCTGCATCACTCTGTAATATTCCCACCTAGTCAGCAGCAGTTTGATGTTTATGCTCTTGCCACGACACTCCTTCTTTGTTTGTTTACAGGAAACCATGGCAACTGAACACAGAGTATATTTTCATATATGCTGTATAACAGATGATCACGCTTCAATAAGATCAATCTCAGGGCTTGCCGTCCAGGTCGTTTTGATGTGCATACATTTTTGAGGAGGTGCAGAAGAAGTACTACCCTTTACAAAGAGGACCTCTAAGCATAATATGATCAGTATGAAAATAGAAAAAGAAAAAGACAGTAACATGTATGGAACATTGCATCCTCAGTGAGCATCCTCTTGCATGATTTTGTCGGAGCTTTCGTTTTCCATGTTCACAGTGTCCTGTACGTAATGTTCTGCACAATCAAATCAGTCCTTCGAAATGAGCTGCTTAGTGGTCACAGCCAAACAGCTCCATGGAGACCTTGTGTGGTTCAGGGGCGGTCGTTGCTGAGACCAACCCCATGGGGTCATCAAAGTGGTAGAAGTGGTTGCCAACGATTACTTTTAGTCCCCCACCGTGGCACATGGCAGCATCCACTTTCTTAAAGATTGAAATGGGGTGCTCAATAACAGCAGCTGGAGGGTTTGCCTTCATATCCACAGATATCATGTTTGGACCTGGAATGAAGCAGAGAGAAACGTGAGTACTTGATGTATCCCTCCTCCTGTGTTAGGGTCTGTACCGACTTGTTTTTGAGTTTAAATGCTTGAAAGAACCACTTAAATTAGCTTTTTTGCATCAAGACTTTTTGACTTCGTCAGGAACCTTTATTTCAACAAAATAAAAAACAAGAAATTAAATTGACTAAATTATAAAATGCCCTTTTTAAAATTATGGCACTTGACATGTTAGGGTTGCTGTTGCTATTCCTGGTTAGATCAATATTTAATAATTAGAGCAAAAACTGAAATCATAAGTGCACTGTCAGGCACCACACTGACAGCCAGATCCTCTTCCAATCATTTGAGATTTAGAAAATTCTCATTTTACCATCTTTTTCTCTGCACAAAAAACAACATCGGCAAGTCCAGACATGTAAGATCAATTCATTATAGATGTCTGTATGAGGGGTCCACTGACAAAGAAAGGCCCAGAGGCACACTACAAAAACTATTATAAGCAATATTTTCATGGATAATGAAGCCTAACAAGGTAACCTAGAGATGAGAGCCAAATTGGATGATAGAGAATTGTTTTTACCCAACTCAAATCAACTCAACCTTATTTGTAAAGCACTTTAAAACAACCACAGCTGAACAAAGTGTTGTACATAAATAGACAAAAACAACACAGGCATAAAAACAATCAAAAAACGATCAAAACAACGGGTAAAATAAAAGCAGAATTAAAAAGTAAAATATAGTTTCAATGTTTTTAAAAACTAATTTAAAAACATGGAAACAAATAACTAAAAACAAACCATAAAACACTAGTATAATTTACAGCTGATTTAAGACACAGGTTAAAACTGACCCTTAACATGGTGGGTGCGTAGTAAAAGCTAACACAGGAGGAAGGTTAATAAAATATGTTTTTCTTTATTGCTTCTAAATTTAAAACTGAGCAGCACATTTTCTTCCTTGACCTGTTTTCTAGGAAGAAATCAGTATTTTACCAGCATTGAATCATTATGTGATTTTCGGGTCATAAAACACCTAGGTCAGGATAATAAGTGGCACATTTTTAGACAGCACCGAAAGACTTACCTTTAGCTGCTACCCCAATTATTTCCTAAATCGCTCCAAGCTTTGGATACTCTAATAGTTGCTGTCTGTATCTTTACCTCTGATAACGTGAGCAATGTCCCCCTCACAGATAAATGCAGCATCAATGGGACCATCTAAGCCCAGGACCTCTTTCACAGTCTTGGGATTACCGTCAAGGTGATCATGGGGCTCAGCCACGTTGTAAGCATACGCATTTTCACCCTGAAGGAGGAGAAATTGTATATTAGTGCTTTATGTTTGATGACAAATTGACAAGATCAATATTAAGTGTGTGTGTTTGCCTCTGTAGTTTACCTTGAACATGTGAAGGTGATTATGATGTGAGAAAACAGCATCCACATCACTGTGCACCTCCTTGAAAAGATGCCCGATGGTATCAGCAGTCATTGTGTCGTTGGCGTCATCTTTACGGAGGAAGTAGTGGCCTGAGAGAAACAGGAGTCACTTAGAGATGCAGCAAACAGTGACAATGTCCAATTGAAAAAGGACACAGTGCAAATGATAAACATTTCATCTGCCACCCCAACATGTCTGTGAAGACTGTCAGTCATCCAAGTCATCCATTGTCTAAACCAAAAAAACACTGGGACTTGGATCGTGTTCTTGAAGATGGTTCACCTCTCATCTAAAAGGTTTCTTCAGTCCTAACTAATTCGTGGACAGAGCTTGAAAAACGACTGTCTTTTTACATAAAGCCCTGAGTCCATACATTATATTAATGCAATGTAGCCTACAGTTAATTCTCACCTCTAAAGGCATAAATGTGACCAGCGCTGTCAGCTGTGATGGCATCCAGGGGAACACGGCTACATCGTTCTCTTTCAACATGGTTGCTCTCATTACCTGGACAACAGAAGAGCATAATGCTAATGTAAAACATGACCTTAAAAGCTTTGATGGTCTCTTCACTTTCAGAATTCATTTGCAGTATAACGCTGAAAAAGTATTGTTGGAAACTTTGAAAACATTTATTGTCATGGCCGATATTTCAATTATTTAAAGCTGTAAAACAACAGCATTTGTGCTTTTTGACTTTGCATGAATACACACATTTTTCACTTACTAAACTTGGAGCATCTCATGAAGAAATCACGGGCCTCTTTGGGGTATTTGCCGTGCACTTCGCCTGTCTTGGGGTCAAATTTGGAGAACATGTGTCCATGGAAACAGTAGTAGTTCCCCATGAAGCGGAAAGCAGACGTGCAGTTTGGCATGGATTCATACTCTTTCACAGCCACTGACTTGGAGTTGATGTTGAAGTGAAAGATTTCATGTCCTGCAGCAAACAACCACACATGAGATTAAAGAGATGTTTGACAAATGAAAATGACGTGAAGTACTAAGAAAATAATCACAAGGCTGTGAAATCAACTATTTAAATCAGGCATAGGCTGATGTGTTATATTCACATGGTGAGGATTACAGCACTAAGGCCCTTCAAACCCATGAGAAGCTAAATGCTTTGAGTTTGCCTCAAATTCCTTAACACTCAAAAACACTCAGATCTTACACTATGGCTGTTGAATTATATCATTTCATCACTGTAAACAAACCCTTGAAGAAGATGACAAGGTCATCCTCACAATCTCCTTTAGGACACTCAACAGCAGCGTCCAGGTGGTCAGGAATTCCGTGGAACTCGTTAGAGATGGGCTTGGGGTAACCTTCCTCCAGTTTATGTTGGTGAAATCTGTACACCGAAGGGCCCTGTATTAAAGAAGAAAGAGGGGTTCAAGATTAGGCTTACACAATCAAATCAAATCAAATCAAATCAATCAAGTCTTTATTTATATAGCACTTTACATACACAAAGTGCTCGACATAGCAGAGGAATAAAAGAAACAAAGAAAACTCTAATCTATCCCAACCCAACCCCTCTGTCCCACCCTGCAATCTAAGCACAATAGAAACATGTATTAAAATGCATGAACTTAAAGAGGGCTTGGTTTAATATAAACAGGAGTATGTGCACTGAGGAAACGCTGTTTTAAAATTAAGGAAACGCTGGAGGTTTAAAATAGAAAAACAAAGAAACATAAAAGGAAATTTAACCCTCATAGACTGTTCGGGTCAAATTTGACCCGTTTTGACTTTTAACAGCAGTAAAAAATACCCTATACATCATTTTTTAAGCCTGAAACTTGATGACTTCTCCTGAAGTTGCCCAAAATACATGAAATTAATTTAAAAATATTCATGTGTATTTTTGTTTATGTGCTACAAATTTTTTCCCCTCTAAGGCTGTTACAGGTCAAATTTGACCCGTATCTATATTCAGATGGATTTTAGATCTAGCAGTGTGGGACAAGTGACAAACAGTAACAACAGTGTTCAATAAAAGGTTTGTTGTTCAAAAAGATATATTCAAATCATTATGAAACTATCATTACCTTGACAAAAACACACACGCACGCACGCACGCACACAGACATACAGTCACACAGACACACCTAGACAGAGGTCAAAATGACCTAACTAGTCAAGAGAACTTTCTGTGACAGAAAGCTGCTCTTTGAACTCTTTGAAGGGGCAATTTTGACCCGGAACATACTGTGAGGGTACAGGATTCGAACAGTATGTGAGGGTTAAGAAATAACCCGAGGGCTCAACCTGGCTCATAAGGTAAAAGCAGATCAGATAAATAAGATGGGCCAAAGCCATTTAGAGCTTTGAAAATATATGTATAATATATATAATATTAAAGAATAAAGATAGGTTAAAGATTAGGCTTACATAATCAAATATACTGTAACATTTAACATTTGGTTCCAGCTGGGCTTTCTGTCACATATGTTACAGTTCAATCTTTTCATGTGTTAATCATTAAAATGAAGGTGAGAAAACACAAAGATTATCTGAAACACCAGCGAGATCTGCTCAGGTTCATAAAACTCTTTTTCATGACAGATATGCAATGATGTTCATGTGAAATAATGCGCTCAATCGTTTTCAAAATGATCTTGTATTAGCGGGCCACTTTTAAACTCTTGGAGACTTTGAACATACCGAGAAGATGAACGTGTGGTCGTGTTCGCTGGCGTTGTGTTCATTGTGCATGTGGAAAGCAGCATCTATATGGCTCAGGTGGAAATTATCATCGTGTCCAGTAAAGGTCTCATTGGTCGGCTCTGCTTCGCCATGGAAGCCCTTGAACAGGGAGTGACCTAAACAAGGATACAGAATACAATGTTGAGATAGAACTGTTTCCACAGTTTAGACCATATGAAGAGTCTCAACCATTCCTCAGCTTACCCTTGAAAACGTATGGGACTCCAGCTTCATTCACAGTCGCAGCATCCATCTCAATGCCCTCACACCGGTCAGGGGGATGTCCATGGGGATCTGTATGGTGAAGGTCATCTGCAGGGCATAAATGCAGTTTTAATATTTCAAAAAAAAGTCTCACTAAGGAGTTTACAAAACTTTTTTTTTACCCACCATGAGGATTTTCCTCAAGCCTGGTAAAAAAGACAAAAAATAACAGTTATTGCTGATGCAGATCTCCTGCTCACTTTACAAAGTAAAAACTGCTCCCCATTTAGGATTTAAGTTACAATTCATGAGGAGCACAAGAAGTCATAATCTCTTCAGAACCCTTTCAAAATGTCATATCACCAGCTGCCTACAAAACGAATTTTATCAACTTCACAAACTGTTTCAAATATTAAATTCCAAAAAGTAGGTAAAGGTAAAGTCTAAAACTACTTACACATCAGCCCATGCCAGAGCGAGGGCAAGGCAGAGACACAGTGTGTGGACAAGAAGCTTCATGGCGACTAGTCCTATGAGACGGGAGAGGAAGAGGTGAGGAAAAAGTACCGTGGCTGCTGCTGCTGCACAAGCTTTTATATCAGAGTCTAGTTTGGGTGGGCTGAGTTACAAGGGGTACCAAAGGAGGAGGAGTGGACAATGTGCAGATATCCTGGTTATCAAAAACGTCTGCAATGTTTAATGTACTCCAGATAGTCTCCTCATGTCATTCCACTTCTCAGAAACATCTATTAGGAAAGTCAGTCAGAGGGCAGCAGATATTTAGATAAATCAAAGTGGTTACTTTTCACTTTCACCCCTAATCAATAGATGTGTACATACCTCACATGACTCTTTATGACTCTTTAGTACCAGGAGCTGTGAGTGCAAAGCAGATTTTAACGTTGACCTCTGCTGTTGTCATGTTTTAGCATTAATGACACCACCAATCACTATAGAATAAGCAGAATCCTCTAAACAATCTGCTCATAGTACAAGAGTTTTTATCAACTAATTTTCTTTCTACATGAAAAGATAAATTAAAAGAATACTCTCCAGTTTACATTTACATAAACTCTGAAAGGGTTTATCCTGTTTTAATATTGTATTTTAAAAAATGTGTCATGTAAATATATGTTGAACAAAAAATGACATTTATAGAAAAGTTCAGCCTCATATTTCCAGAACGTTCTGGGCATGTGCTCAGCCTGGTCAGAGTTGGCTCTGTATCCTGAACCATTCCCAACTCTGAGAAGTAACTAACCGGGATCACTCACAAAAAATAAATACAAACTGCTGACCATTGCACTTTGAAGTCCTGAAATCAAAGAGTTGCATAATGTTTAAAAATGGATCATTCACAGAGGGGAGTGACATAACATATATACTACTTTATAAAACTAAAAGTACTCAAGCTTAACTTTGTGTTGCCTAAAAAAAGTTGCCTGTATAATTTCAATTCAACAAAAAGTAAAAGGGTACAGAAAATATTGCATTTACTCGAGTGTACACCTGGATGCATATGACAAAAGACTATTTTTAAATAAAAGAATATACAATATATCATGCGCGCTAGTTTTTGTCTCTCAAAAAGACTGATGGAGGTACAATTTCGGATGAAATTCAGCTGAAACCGAGCAAAAACAAAGGTGCTACTACTACTCAGATCCCTTAAACTTTATTTTCTCTGTGGCAGCAAATTTTAAGCTTTTCAAGAAACATACATCTTCATAAGTAGGCAATTACATCACCTACTCAACCAATAAAAAGATACACTCAGTGGAAAGACAAAGGGAAGCCAGACACACGATTCAAATAACAGCAACGAGAAAATATATCACCATTTTCATCTCCATGTTTTGCACCATTTGCTGTCTTTGCTTTTGACACTGGAACTAAAAAACAGCATAACCAAGGTCAGCTTCGCCTGAGTGTGCAGCACAGAGGCTGACGAGTTCATGTTGATGTTGAAAAGGGAAGCATACTTAGTTCAAGGACTGCATTATTTCATCATCTCAAACAGGTCAGGTAAGTTCACAAGAAAAACAAGTTATTGAAGTTCTTTGAGTTCAGGGATAAATGTTGGTCTTTCCATTCATTATCTCTATCCGCGTCTTTTCATTCAGTCCAAATTGAGCTCTGTAAAATAATTAAACTTCGATTATGAACATAAAACAACATTTCAAACTCAAGAGACCTCACTGGTTACATCAAATCTAAATTGAGCTGCAGATGTAAAAGCGTGGAACAAAATCAAACCTCGAAGAAGCAGTTTATTGTGGCTCTAATAGAGAGCATGACAGCTGATTCAATGGTCAAGGAAAAGGCTAAAATAAGGTCAAACAAACACAAGCTGCCCTCTGACAGCATTTATACTTTTCATGTCCTCACGCAATCTTTGCAGTATGTCAACAGGAGACTTGGTCACATGATCAGAAATGCTCAGCCAGCATATTCAAACAAAGTTCAGATTTTTATCAGCTGTTGACGTAAATACTACAAGTCCAAAGTCATCTGGGATGAAAAAGTGACTCTGGTTGTTTTTTGTACATGAGGATTTAATCATGAATCAATTATGGAAGAGTCACCTGGGTGCGTTTTCTAGAACACTGTGAAAAGAAGCAGGGGTTGACATGATGCTCAATTTGCCGCTGAGCAGAGGAGCCAGTGGCTTTTAAAATTCTGGTTATTACCCATGTATAATTTACTCCGTGTTTTGTGCTGACTACAGAGTCTTACCATCCCTAGAAACACAGATTCACCTACTGGTTTTGCCTTATTCAATCAGATTCTGTATCCACCACAGGCCATCTTTGCTTGATTTAGCTTCACAGTTTGCTGTGAGTAACAGGCAGAAACCCCACAAAGGAGGCCATGGTAGTCCTGTAAGCAAGCACATAAAAGAATGTGTGTGCCCTAAAGTCACTGGTACGAGTCTTACTGTCCCTCAACACATGAATTTACAGACTGGTCTTGTCTAATCAAAATTAACTCTGCACATCAATTCACACATGTTCTTATATACAGTATTTATACATGGGTAAAATCGTGTTACTGTTGCATCTTCAAATGCATCCAGAGTAGGGCTGCATAATATATGGAAAATGTAATTACCTCTGCCAAGAAGGTTATGTCTTCGGTAGCGTTGGTTTGTTTGTTTGTCTGTGAACAACTTTACGGCGAAAGTTACAGACGGATTGACCTGAAATTTTCACTAGAGGTGCGTCTCAGCCCCAGGAGGATCCCATTACATTTTGGTGGTGATCCGGATCGCCTTCTGGATCCAGGAATTTTTTGAAGGATTCTTTATCATTGTGAGATAGGGCACATTTTGGAATTTTTGCATTTAACTCTATAAAAATGGCCAAAGTCTTTAGTAAAAAATGACACAAAAGGATCTCAATGAGTTTTATGAGGTGTCAAAGGTTGATCCTGATCCAGACAAAATTCCGGATACTGTGATCCAGAACACACAAAAATAAAGGTGTCGTTGGAATTTTTAATGCTGAAAGATAACCAATGGGCGGCACAGTGGTGTAGATGGACGGCACAGTGGTGTAGTGGTTAGCACTGTCACCTCACAGTAAGAAGGTCCTGGGTTTGAATCCGGGTGAGGGCATTTCTTGTTTTAGGAACATTATGAACAGTGAACATACCAGTTTAAACACAAATAAAAGTTAATAAAAGACACATAACAGTAAAAGTTTTGGTGTGAATCACAATATAAGGGGGGACATGAGCTGCTTGGCGGAGGTCTGCACTCTCCGAGTGCTTTTCTGGTTTTATGATATCTTTTGTTTTGGCGGTAATCATTTCAATAAGAGAAAAAAACAATAATAATAATAAAGTGTGTTTTGTATGTACATACTGCACCTGTAAGAAACAGAAAAATTGTTTATGTGATTCAGTTCAGTATTGTTGCAACAATATGACATGAGTAAACCAATATAAAAATACTGTCATTTCACCACTTCATTGGTATGAATTAGTTTAAAGGTAGTTCATAGCTAGCTTGAGCTCCATTAGACAGCAAAACAGCGATAAAGCTTTGTCATTTTACGTCAGTTTGGGTCTCATGTCTTAATTGCTCTTCATATGTACAGATGCATCAGTGTTTGTTTCCGACCTGTGGTCATTTTCTGCACGTCAATCCTTACTCTCTCCATCCACTGCCCTCGCCTCTCAATAAAGGCTTAAAAGCCCTAATCCAGAGGCCTAATGCAGGCCTCCGCCAAGGACGGATCCACTATCGCGTGTTGGGTAATGTTTTTCAGATCCACTATTATTGAATAGCCATGTTGAAAACTAACTGCATTAGTCATCAAAAACAAATATATTACCAAACTCTAAACAGCAAAGGCAAATATTCTACCAGTCTATTTTTAGACTATCATTGAGGGGAAAGAGCTGTCTATAAATAGAGATGGACATTTTTCGTGTTAGTTATTCCACTCATTTCAAAGCATATCCATCAGTACATAAACATTTTTTTCATTACGTACAACACAAGCAACATATTATTGTAACTGAAGACTGAATGCTTCTTGATGATGTGATGCTTAGGTTTGACAAGGATAAATGACCTAACATTACAAAACTACATGCTGAATCATAACGACACACACCGACAGCGACAAGGGGGATGAGCAATGAGAAACAAGAGTACAAATTTATATAGATAAAAACAACTACATGTATTATCCTGTGGCTGTTTTACAGTTTTGTCTTTACATTGATATAATGCATTTTAAAGGGGTGCCAAATGTTTTTTCTAATACTATGGGGTTGTAATATTATGACAATCATGTGTATATAGCTGTGATAATAGTTGGTTTTTTTTCTTCTTTTCTTTAACAAAAACTTTTTTATAATCTAAAATTGGTAAGAGCTTAATATGTCCTGTTTGAAAAAAAAGTGTCATTACTGCAGACATCCAGCAGAGGTCCCTCCTGCAGTTATATTAGTAGACCAGGTCAACACCACATAGAAGAGATTTAATAAATAAATAAATCAAAAAAAGAAAGTTTCAGCTGTATCTGTAATTATAATCTATTTTAAGTTTTGCACACAAGCTCTACGGAGGCATCATGAAAAATAAAAAATGATGAAAGGTTAAAATTATTTATTGATGGATTCCTGTTGCCTGCAGTGTCTCTTTGGGTTTGATGAGCCGCATTCATGGCATTCAGCAACTTTTGATGTCAGGCATATTTTAATGATGACGCTTTAGTGGAAAATATCTGAAAGAGTATTCATAAGAACATTTTTAGGATATTTATGAGTCTCTTAAAGTATGTCAGAATGTAGAGAATTGGCTAACAGGGTGAAAAGGTCATTTCTCATTTCACTGTGAGTTCAGTTGTCACTGTGGGACAGTTTGAGCCCCCTTGGAAGCCTTAGGCTGTGTGTTTTTTTTTTTGTGAATTTGGACAGAATAAATCAAGTCTCTTGCCAGCTGCAAAATGTGATGCAATCGCAGGAAGAACTCAGAGTATCCTTCTGGGAAAGTTAAGTACAGACAGGGAGGGGACTTAGCACAGGTTAGGACGAGTTATTTCCACCTGGTGTCCCAGTAAACAACAAACATATACTGCAGCTTGGAAAGGTAGCCCTTCCTTATGTCCTTCTAGTTGTTTCTGTTACAGTGATATGTGGGCATAACATTAACTTAGGGTCAAAAACACCATAACACAGAGTCAGACATCCCCTCGAGAGATCAATGTTGCCGACCGCTTGCTTCTCTAGTTTTACCAACTTTAGTAACGACCGCAGGATAGCAATACACAGTGGTCTGTGGAGCCATAAACAAACCTCAACCAAAACGCCACTCTTTGGCCACAAATAATGCTCAGAACAGCGCCTAACTTCATCAACAGTATATACATATACACTCACCGGCCACTTTATTAGGTACACCTGTCCAACTGCTCGTTAACACTTAATTTCTAATCAGCCAATCACATGGCGGCAACTTAGTGCATTTAGGCATGTAGACATGGTCAAGACAATCTCCTGCAGTTCAAACCGAGCATCAGTATGGGGAAGAAAGGTGATTTGAGTGACTTTGAACGTGGCATGGTTGTTGGTGCCAGAAGGGCTGGTCTGAGTATTTCAGAAACTGCTGATCTACTGGGATTTTCACGCACAACCATCTCTAGGGTTTACAGAGAATGGTCCGAAAAAGAAAAAATATCCAGTGAGCGGCAGTTCTGTGGGCGGAAATGCCTTGTTGATGCCAGAGGTCAGAGGAGAATGGCCAGACTGGTTCGAGCTGATAGAAAGGCAACAGTGACTCAAATAACCACCCGTTACAACCAAGGTAGGCAGAAGAGCATCTCTGAACGCACAGTACGTCGAACTTTGAGGCAGATGGGCTACAGCAGCAGAAGACCACACCGGGTGCCACTCCTTTCAGCTAAGAACAGGAAACTGAGGCTACAATTTGCACAAGCTCATCGAAATTGGACAATAGAAGATTGGAAAAACGTTGCCTGGTCTGATGAGTCTCGATTTCTGCTGCGACATTCGGATGGTAGGGTCAGAATTTGGCGTCAACAACATGAAAGCATGGATCCATCCTGCCTTGTATCAACGGTTCAGGCTGGTGGTGGTGGTGTCATGGTGTGGGGAATATTTTCTTGGCACTCTTTGGGCCCCTTGGTACCAATTGAGCATCGTTGCAACGCCACAGCCTACCTGAGTATTGTTGCTGACCATGTCCATCCCTTTATGACCACAATGTACCCAACTTCTGATGGCTACTTTCAGCAGGATAATGCGCCATGTCATAAAGCTGGAATCATCTCAGACTGGTTTCTTGAACATGACAATGAGTTCACTGTACTCAAATGGCCTCCACAGTCACCAGATCTCAATCCAATAGAGCATCTTTGGGATGTGGTGGAACGGGAGATTCGCATCATGGATGTGCAGCCGACAAATCTGCGGCAACTGTGTGATGCCATCATGTCAATATGGACCAAGCTCTCTGAGGAATGCTTCCAGCACCTTGTTGAATCTATGCCACGAAGAATTGAGGCAGTTCTGAAGGCAAAAGGGGGTCCAACCCGTTACTAGCATGGTGTACCTAATAAAGTGGCCGGTGAGTGTATATATATATATATATATATATATATATATATATAGGGTCCCAGCCACAGCACTAGCCACCAAACATCTTTTTAACTTTGCCTAATTTCTATAGCAAAGAGACTAAACACAACTCACCTACTCTCTTCCAGCAACTGCTCGTTTTTAGCGAGACCTCGGGCCAATGCATTCCGGACTACGGCGGGGTGACGCAGCTCAAGCAGGAACATCTTCCACCTTCGTGGAAATGCAGTCAGACTGAGACACTAACGGGCAATTTCCATCGCATCTGGAACGGCTACGAATAGGCCGTATCCGCCGATCGTAACCATTCAAGTTAATATGTCAATTTCCACCGGCTTCTTTTTGTTCAGCCGGACTCCTCAGCTGATCGCAAGAGTTCTATTTTTTCCGGAGCACGCCGGATAAAATCAGCACAGATTAACCCTGCTGGAAAGGAAGTCCGGCACAGACACAAAATAAAATATCAGGCTTGTTTTCAAAATAAAACACTCACTGTTTCAGGCGAATCGTGTTTCACACCATGCAAACGGGCGGGGACGAACAAGTAAAATGTTTATAGACATAATTTCACCCCGATGACACTATGGATGTTGAGATGCTAATAAGTCTAGAAGTGGATTTCCTCCTCTGGAAGGCCACAGTCTACTGTTTATATAGTTAGCCTAGGTGGCTATAGACAACGTGGTATCGCGCGATTGCATGTGAATCCGCGGGTTCTTGTGAGTTCTCGCGATTTCTGCTCTCCATAAACCACCACGAAATTCGCCTCACAAACGGATCCGGTAGGAATTGGCGTACTGCAAAAATCGCAGCCGTTCTGGAGCGGATCCGTTCCGGATACGATGGAAAGGAGGTGTAGGGCAGAAGAACAACTGTGTCTGCTGTGCAAAATGATTGATATGGTGATTTTTACTTCAAGGAAATGACAAAGTAATAATCATAAATGTTCTTCCTTGAGCTGCGTCACCCCACTGGAGTCCGTATGGACTGGCCTGAGGTCTCGCTACAAACAAGTGGCTGCTGGAAGAGAGTAGGTGAGTTGTGTTTAGTCTCTTTGCTATAGAAATTCGGCAAAGCTAAAAAGATGTTTGGTGGCTAGTGCTATGGCTAGGACCCTATACTTACTGTTGATGAAGTTAGGTGCTGTTCTGAGCATTATTTGTGGCGTTTTGGTGGAGGGTTTTTACGGCTCTGCTGTGTATTGCTATCGTGTGGTCGTTACTAAGGTTGGTATAACTAGAGAAGCAAGCTGTCAGCTACATTCATCTCTCGAGTGGGTGTCTAAGTGTTAGGTGTGTTTGAGCCTAACTTAATTTTATGCCGGAATATCCCTTTAACCTCCATGTTTCATCGTAGATAGTCAAGTTGCTAATCACGTGACTTAGGGTCAAGATATCGAATCATAATTCAAGGTAAAAGAAAGGAGAACATCATAAAAATGAGCGCTTTTTATTTATAAACTTGCTTCTATAGGCAAAATAACATTCATAGTCAAAAACATCAAAAATTAAACCTATAAATCATCGTCAAATTAAATATTTTACTTTGTCAGTCAATCTTAATAACTTGTCTTATTTCTTTTGTTGTCCTTTCTTCAGGCAGAAGTTCCTCCCAGCAAATCCGAGACAAACCCTTGATCCAGTCTTATAGATCTTGGCGAAAACCAGTCCTCCAGAGGATGTCCTTGTTACAGTTTTTTTCTCTCCCTCTAACATCCTTTTTGAGAGTGTGCAAGGAAGGAAGAGAGGAAGGAAGCAGGGAGAGCGGAGCCAGTGAGAGACAGTCTCTGACATGTGTAGGACATCTTTACCGCACATACTAACTTCACCATTTCTATAGGATTTCTGGAGGGTTGTGGAGGCGCTCACACCCGAGTGAATGCAGCAGTTTGTCGATTGGAAGATTGAGGAAAAGAGATGGGGAGCGTTTCTGTCAGGTAAGATCGTTTCTGCTCGATTTAAAACTCAGACGCGGTTTCTCCACGGGGGAAATGAGCAGTATAGTATTTCTGTCTTAAGACGTCTTTGTAGGAAACAAAGTGAGTCAAAGTATTTGGTCAGGGCTTTGTGTTTTGTTTACAATGGCGTCGAGTCGACCACAGCGCCTGATTAGCAGTTCATTAAGATCCACGTTTTCTCGTCAAACAGAGGCAGACAGGTAGAGCTGACAGCCTGCAGGTGTCTCTTGTGACACCATAAAGGAAAACAGAAAAGAAAAGGAGCTGAATGTAACTGTAAGGTATGGGCTGCAGTTAAGAAGTCAGATTCAGTCAGGAGTTTACTAATTCAGGCAGCATAGGGTGGGCATAGAGTAGTTTAAAGGTGATTATTCATCCATTTACAACAACAAAATGCAAAATAAGCATCAGATCTTTTCAGTAAATGGTCACTTAACGCCTGTTGTTTAACAATTTGAGTTATTTGATTGCTTTCTTTGTATAAAAATTGTTAAAACCGTAGCTTTGTGTCAGATATAGAGAGGGTACAGCTTGTTTGTTTGTTTGTTTGTTTCCGATAAAGCCAGGATAGTTTTTTACCTTTTGTTTTATACAGTCTGTAACTAAGTGGATGCAAGCAGATGCCAAAGGTGTTTCCCAGTTAACAATATCATAAGGCCAGTAAGTAGTGGGAAACTGGTTTGCCCCGACCAGACTACAAGCAGCTACTCTGGGACTGAAAACAAAGAAAAGGATTTTTAAGGCTATAAAGCTTAAATAAAACAAAAAAATAAACGGCCCCTAAGATTCCAGAGCTGGCACTTTTGCGGGCAAAAAGAGCAGCACCTGACAGTACAGTGCTCGACAAACATCCATCAAACAATGAGCGTGGTCTAGACCTGCTCTTTTTCTTTGGAAAGCATCCTGGGATGATGACTGTTGTGAATTGGCACTACATAAATAAAATTTGATTGATTGATTTGAACATGAATATAACATTGATTTAAAGCTCCTGTGAGGAACTTTCAGTTAGTGTCAATTTGGCGCCCCCTATGGAGAAAGTAGTCTTTGCTTATCATGTCCTTTACACGCCTAAGTTGTGACTTTTGACCATGAATCTCATCCTGCTGACCTTGAAAAGTCAAATGTATCGTTCATTGTAGATATTTAATGTGTAAATCCTAAATACAGGGCTGTTTCTTCAGCTACTAGACTGACACCTACCCCCTTACACCAGTTTGAAGGTTTTATGATGATTAAAAACATCATCAGTCTTGTCGCTGATGGTGTTATTTGTTTTTGTAAACAGAAGAATAGGTCGCAGTTTGTTAAAGTTACCTAATAATAAGGAGGGTCTGGCCCTGTCCTAAGCGATTGTTTGCCCAGCTTTCATTCTTAGAAGCCACTATTGATTATTCCTCCACTTCCAAAAAACCTGATCTGATTGTCCCTGGTGTTGCTCTTGCTATACAGACTTAATTCTGGTTGTTTTAAGATTTTGACCAATCAGACTCCAGTATTTGTTTGCAGAGATTCGTTTTGGCAAAACATTATTGACTGCAGACTCTTTAATCCTTGAAACCAGCTGCTGCTTTTGCAAAAATAGAGTCCTGTTCCTCCAGAAACAACACACAGTATTTGGTATCCCTTTTTATCAGAGCACCTGCAGACTGATGCCATACCTTTTTGTTTTCATCGATTTAAAAAAAGTTACAAAACGAATGAAATGTACCCTGTTTTATTACCTCTGCAGCCATCTTGCCCTTGAAGAGATTAGAAAACTGGGAAAGTTGAATTCTACCTTAAATGTTTGGCATTATTCAGGCATGTCTGTGCTACAGAAACCAGGATATCATAAAGCAATAACAACACCTTCCAAATCAGGGCAGAAATATAATGACTACCCTCCTGTGACCACAAAAATTCAGCAGGTTTCTGAGCTTTCTTTCCTCTTTCGGTTGTATAGATTTAATTGGCTTGACTTGACTTGGCTTCTGTGGAAACAACATGTCAGTGAAGTGCTGTAAAGACGCTGAGCCTGGTCTTGGTTGCTGCAGCAGCAGCGTCCCTACAGGCTACATGCCAGGTTCAGAGGGCTTTGTAAATACCACAAGTAATGACAAGAATGTAGACAACTTCACTTCTCTGTGTCAGCTCTCATCACCATTGTCCTCAGTGTCCTGCTAAAACAACAAAGCTCTCCTCCTCTTTTTCTTATTTTTGGTTTCTGACACTGGTGAGCTGAGTGTGCACATGTGTCATCCACCTTCAGGAGGGCAGATCTTCCTAGAATGATGAGGCCAAATCAGGTTGATTCCTTGAAACGCATCAGCTGGCTGTTCTTAGTTTTTATGATTCACGTTAGCTCACTGAATCATACTGTCAGCAGTCTCTCGTGTTATATCCAATAGCACAGCAGTGAGGCTTTTTTAAATCAGTGAAAATCTGACAGATGTGGCTGGTGTTTGATGAGTCACAGACTTGAAACGCGGAGCGGTGTGCTCTCCCACCACTGAGTTCACTTTGCCACCGAAGCCTTTGACATTCCTTGTCTGGATTCCTGGAAGGTTATTCGTTCAGAGGTTGAAAAATCTTGTATGCCTTTTTCGTTCATTTTTTTGTTCTCACTTTTATACTCAGCGACTACAGTGGTGTGAATGTTGCTGTTTCATCCTGCAGGCTTTTATCACTTCCCCGCAGTTATTTAAATAATCATTATTTCACCACATTCAGTCTCTTTGCAAAGGCAATGGGCTTTAAAAAATTACCACAAATCCCCTTATCTGTAATGAAGAGATTTTAAACCAAACTGAAGAGAACAGAGTTCAGCCAAGTCAATTTTTTAGTCTTCTTTGATATTCAAATCCTCAATCTGAACTACTATGCTAATTTTTCTTCCCAGAAGTGAAAAAACACACTTTATGTAAGAATACATAAATATAATTTGTCATGAATTGGATTTGGAACCAGACCAAAACTGTATGGGGTTTAAACTTTACCACCAAGTTTCATTAAAATTGAGGCAGTATTTTTTTTTTCCATTGCTTAAAACAAGCAGCATAACAGCACCCAAAATATCCTCATGAAATAATGAGTTTTATATGTCCTTAAAGCTCCAGTTGGTGTTTATTTTGGTGCCCCCCTGTAGAATGATTGACACCAGTTATGTAAGGCTTATCTTTTCCTGCACATGTGTTAAAAGCTGTGTCCTGAAAAAGGAATCACTTCTTGTTGGAGAATTTTTTTTTCTACTTTGCTTTAAATTACCTTCTCCACTTAATGTCAGTATTGAAAATAGAATATCAAATAAAACACAACACCACATGGATCTGTGGAAATATCATAACCAATAATAGATTATTCATTTTGGAAAGATTGTTTTTGCAATGACAAAAACAACACCCTAAATATATATTCATAATTTTAGTATTATATGGAATATGTCAGGAACATATACAGGCATTAAAATTGTCTAACATGCCAAACATTAACATGCAGAGAGGAATCATTATAATACTCTCTGCCTAACTTAGTCAATCAATCAATCAAATTTTATTTATTTAGCGCCAATTCACAACAGTCGTCATCCCAAGACGCTTTTCAAAGAAAAAGAACAAGTCTAGACCACGCTCATTGTTTGATTAATTGTCGAGACCCAACATTAAGATGGGACAGATTTGACGGATCTAACATGAGTGACAGAGGCAAGGAATAACTTCCTTTCAACAGGCAGAAACCATGGGAAGGACCAGACTCATGTTAGACAGCCACCAAGCCGCTGCTGGGTTGGGTAGAAATACAGAGAGAGATAGGAAGGGAGAGAGAGAGGAGTAGGAGAGAGGGCAGGGGGACAGAAAGAGAGCAAGGGAGAAGGAAGGAGAGAGAGAGCGAGTAAGGGAGAGGGAGGGAGAGAGAAAAGAGAATGAGGGTGAGAGAGAGAGAGAGAGACAGGGGACAGCAGCAACAACAGCTCATGCAAACTCAGACCCTTACTCAGACTCACAGCGTCTATTTTTCTTCATACTTGTTCTTATTGGTTTAAAATAAAAGCTTATCCACAAAGTCGGGTAAAGTTCAGAAAGGCATATGAGTCTTCAGACACTCAATCTTTCTGTCGGCCAAAAAGAGACATTACTGTCAACTTTAGTCTGTTAAAAACGTCACAGAAGCTTTAAGAAGAATGGAAACAAACCGTTTACTTGACAATCCTTTAGCTTTTGGTTTGTGTCAGTTTTTGCAACTTCTGTGGACAAAGTGATAACGTTTATCTCTGCTGATTTTATCCTTTACTTGTCAGCAGTAGTTTTTAATATATTCATCCAGGTGTCTTTTTACAGTCTCACTCACAGCTAATCTTAGCTGTGGGAAATTTCAAAAAGGTTGTTAAAAGTGCTTTCATTTCTTTGTCTGACACTTCCCCTGCAGCAATGTTAACAGGTCTAAAAATACACATATGAGGCAATTAAACATCCTGTAACTAATAATCTTCTTGACTTTTGTAGATCGTAGAGAGGCTGTATTCTGGATTTTAGTTTGGTCCGTAACCAGCTGAAAACTCACACACATTAATGAGCATGGATGCATAAATGTGCCAGGTTGTAGCCGTAGGCTAATTTCTTTGACCAGCCAAAGAATAAAATAATTAGTATACAATGATCCAGTGAATTTACAGTAGAGGTCCTTCATGCTGGTCCCCACACACAATAAAACAGAGGACAGTTGAAGAAGAAGCAGCAGATGCAAGCGAGCAAGCTGAAGTAGCTCTCGGAGAGATGATTACACTTTTAAAACTGATGTTTAAGAGCGCTTGACTCTTCAGGTCACTAATCAACTGAATATTTACACTTTCTGACTGTTGTGTTTAACTGTTTCTTACCATCTCACACTGCTTTTAGGCACTAAAAAATAGGATGTAAAAAACTCAAGTTATGTCGCTGATGGATGTGATAAAAAAGGCATCTATGTGAATTTCACTTTTCTACGATGAACATAAAAAACTCTTTAAGTAACCTAAACACAAGACAGAAAACCTATCAAAATGAAATAATGACAAACAAGTTTTGGTCACAGGGCTGATGATAAATAGATTAGGAGAATATTGTGTTATTGATTGAGTTTGTGGAATAATGTACCGCTCTACCATTGTCTCACCTTTGCTCAATTTAAATGATTGTTTTTTTTTTATCCATAATTTTCATGACAAATACGTTATCCTGATATTTTATAGCCCCTGTAAGTATTTGTAAATCTGATACCTTGACAGCCCAAATGTGCATGCTTTACCTCATGTTATATTTATATATGAGATATTGAACCTTGCAAACAGGATACTTAACTGTTCTGTCAAGATAATATTGTGCAAACAAGATATGCACTTGTTCCCTCATAATAACTATATTGTGTGCATAAAAAATTAACATGTTTTCACAGATAACTATATTCTGCCCACAGGATATTGACAATGTGCAAACAAGCTATCAACAAGTACCCTCAAAATAATTACACAGTTTGTAGAAAATAAAATAACTTTTGTGCACAGCTATTAATCCCCGGCTTTCATTCCTTTGTCAGCAGTAGATAATAAAGTGTCGTGTTTACACAAAATAATTAACTTGTTCCCACAAGAAAATGACGTGAGTGTTTTCATGAGGGAACAAGAGCAGAAAATAATCATTCATAGCATATAAACCTGATGAATACTTCCCTATTTTGCTCTAGTCTCAAATGTGAAGTGCTTAATTCATGACAAATTGTTTCAAAATATTTTGACAAAGGTCATGCTGTGATAGGAGAAACGCGCCTCATTATTAAATGATTATTTACTAAAAGAAAAATACAATTTAATGGTATTTTTATCCTATTTTTCTGCGTCTTAAAACAGACGAAACATGATCTGTTTCTGTTTACATCAACACCATACAAGCATTACAACACCTCTTGACACACTTTCTGTTTCTATCCAAACTTTATATAAGTGACACCATAAATTTTATAATGGGCGCTTGTTATCAAAGGGAAAACCCAGAGTGTGAAAATATGGCCAGTCAGACAGAGCTGACAGAGCAGCAGAAGTTCCCTCTGTGTGGACACCACAGAGATGAGCCACACTTATCCATAGGGGTTCAAGTAAAGGTAGAGATAGTTAGTGAGTCCCAGTCCGAAAAGTGCTTCAGGTGTAGCCTTGCCCTGTGACTGAACCTTGACCCCAGGTAATCCCTCCCCCGTGACAGCTGTAGAAACGCTCCCGGGCATGAGTCCTCCCTCTCCCTCCCTCTCTTCTCTTTTCCTCTCCCTATTACTGTGCATGTCCCGACATGCCGGCAAACGCAGAGAGGGGGAGGAGACAAAAAACAAAACAAGAAAAACCGGAGCGCATGCAGACAGGGAAGACAGAATGAGAGAGGTGTGAGACTGGAGGGAGCGTGAGAAAGGAAATTTATGACAGAGCTGCAGCTGCAATTTGGGATCCATGTCTTGAAATTTTAGGAGAATCAGGACAGAAACTGAGAGGGGAGAAGGCTGTGGGCATAATTAGGAGACGGGGGAAGACTCAGTCAGGGAAGGGGTGAGTAACTGTGTCATTTTATCTATAAGAAACATGCTGTCAGTTCCTCTCTTGACTCATTCCTCTCCCCTCTTCAGATTCTGACTGAGCTGCTCCAAGGAGAGACATGACGGGCGCTGGTAACCATGGATTCTCCTGTTTGCTTCGCTGCTACAAACAGAGCAACTAAAAGATGAAGACAGGTCCAAATTAGGAAGTGAAGAGGGGAACCATTAACTCATTAACCTTTTTTTGACTCCTCGTTTCGCAAATAAGAGAGACCTGCTGGGAGCTGATAATGATCGCCTGATGCAACATAACAGAAACTGACAGTGTGAGGAAATACCACAGCTGTCACAAGCAAGAACTGACACCAGCTGGAGCTAAAATTAAAAGTCAGAGTGGGAAAAAAAGATGCTGGAGGAGCACGGGACATGGAGTTCACAGCACTGAGTTGACATCCAGGGGGAAATGAGCAGCAGTGGATTCAGCAGCCGCTGCAGCTTGCTCCAGGGCCGGCGTTTCTTCTGCCGGGAATGGGCCCTGGACAAGCTGCGGGGCTGCCTGGATGCCCGATCCATGCCGGGTCAACCTGCAGGGGTGCTGGTGACTGGGGGACCGGGTGCGGGGAAGACGGCCCTGTGTACCGAGGTGGTGTGGCCCACTTCCAAGGCAGGGATGGAGGTCGGGCTGGCATCACGCTGCCTGGCCTCTCACTTCTGTAACAGGGAGGACCAGAGGAGCACCGTGCTGTGGAGGTTCGTCCTCGGGCTGGTGGAGCAGCTGAGGGCCTCACCTCTCCTCCCTCCTGGGTATGAAGACATCCTCTCCAGCTCGACTGTGTCCTCTGCTCTGGATCCTCTCACCTGTCAGAGAGACCCTGACAACACCTTCAAGAGGTTAGTATCAGAGTTTTCAGACTTTTACTAAAACTCCTTCAGAATTGAGCATCTTTATTTATTTTATGTCATGTCTGGTTTGACATTCATGCTTGATCTGAAGTTGGCTGATCTTTCCTGAAGCAGCGTCAGAGGGAAATTTCAAGGTTGCCAAATGAGAGGGAGGAATAATAATGTGACAGGCATGAAATTCATCCAGGCAGCCTGCATGTGTGTGCATGTTCAAGACTGGAGCTCATTCCCAGCTCAGCACAGCCGAATATACTGAATATGTGGCACCACTTACTGTGAATGGTGATACTGAATTCTAAGCAGGAGAGGTCTGTCAGACGTGTCAGCAGGAAAACAAGGTGTTAGGCACAATCAGCAGGAATTAAAAGTCGGTGAAAACCTGTGAAACAAGTTCTGCTTTTTTGTTTTGAAAACAGTCGGTTTAAACATGAGAACTGTGCTGACAAACAGACATGATAACCTGGAGCATGGTTTTATGTCAGGCACATAAATTAAGAGCTGAGAGAGCAGAGACACCCAAGTGACCTACATTAGGTTTTAAAGCGTGCATCGAGAGTGTCATTGCTTCTTTATCCATCATTTGTGTTTTTGTTGGTTTATTGTTTAAAAGCTATGTTGGCTGACAAGGCTAATCTATCTGCAACAATCTAAATGATCTTTATTGAGAGGTGTGTGCTGCAAATTCAGCAACGGAAATTCAAATGTAAATAAAAAAAAGATGCAAATCAACAAGACGCCATCAATAGCAGGCACACTCCAAACACATTAACAGAACAAGTCCGTAAACACCAAAGAGATCCACCGCATTGAAAGCATAGAACTCCACAGATACTGTCTCTTAATGATAAAGTCTTGATTTACATATTTGAAGAGACATCTGCTTACAACAGCAAACACTTGCAGGTTTCTTAACACCTGTTTCTAGTTTTTCAAGTTAATTGAAAATGCTCCAGTTGGAAGTCTTACACTGCGAACTGCAGGCAACACTGGAAGCTGTGAGAAGTCGGCCATCACTACTTCAGGCTATGCTGTCATCCGATGAAAGCAGATAAGCTCTGTGATTGATTTACTGCATGGCTTACAGAGAAAGTGAGAGTAAAGACAGTCTCACTCTGTAAATCACACCCACAGGAGAGAAAATAAGTATACTATTGAACCAGGAATACTGTGAAATTATTATTTTTTAATTGAGTTGAACATGAGAAACATGTACCCTAACCATAACCTTGTATTTTTTTCTTCTCTACGTTTTGACCTTCTGCCCACATGTAAACAGAGTTGAAGGTCACTGAAAACAGAGGTTTTCAATAACACCTGTTTAAAGTGGACATTTTTGTGAAATGCTGCCTTGGTGTCTTAAGAAGTTTAGAGAAATGCTGACATACTTGCACATTGCAATTGTTGTCACTTCTATTCTGGACAGTATAAGGAATGCTATTTCCAGCTGCCGCTCACTAAGGTTTTACACTGTGCGTATGTGGACAGTGTTTTCCCATGGTGCTTTCATGTGACAGGCTGATTAGACATCGACAACTGATGGTCTGGCATGCCTATGTGAGCATTTGTAACTGTTTCTGTGTTGTCTTATGGACAGAGACACGTCCAAAAATACCTCTGAGCTGGACAGGACCTTTTTTGACAACAAAGAGAGGAAAAATGTTTCCAAAAATATCTGTATAAGTGTGAAGAGATCAGGTTGCAGGATCCTTAGTTTTTTATGCATTCTCTTTGTGCAAATGACTCAAGTTGTAATGCCTGTAAGGCTCCACTTTCTTAATCGAAATGTTTTACCCTATTTATTTACGTATCCCACGATACAGCTGCATTTGTCTGCTGTTTGCTGGTGACAAGAGGAAACCCCCACAGTATAAAAACAGCAGGTAGAGCCTCTCTAGAGTGATGCATTGAGAGTTTGGAACACAGTGAGACTGTTTTGCAGCTGTAAAAAACAGTAATACGAATGAATTTGTCAATACTTAGTGTTTGTAGCATGATGGAGATCCTTCAGTGATTTCTTTACAGGGTCAGTACGGACCTTTTTGGAGTGCTGACTTGATTTAAGACTCCTCAAGAATAAGAAGCAGAACTAATCACAGGCATTTGGTTCTTTCTTATCCGTCAACTAGTTTGTCAATGACACCATAGTATTAGCTTATGCTGCGTTCCAGTTGTACTCTAAAGTCAGAATTTCCAAGCTCCCAGTCAGAAATTCATCTGGAATGCCCCGCTGAAGTTGGATTTCTGACTCGGAAAGTCGGATGATCCTCACCAACCCCGACTTGACAACAACGTCATATTTCAAGCTCTCTTCATGTATTATTTATTGGCACTTCTGTTTTGCTTTTGTGAAATTAAATAAGTGGTAAATGTTGTACTGCCCAACGTCTAACTGTGAACACGGTGCTATGGTGTTTGTAAGAGTAAAATAGTGTTATGCATTGTTTACAACTGGTATAGCAAACAACAACTTACAACAGTTGACAACGGCTAACAACAGCTGACAATTGTAAACAACAGCTAACAACGGGTAACTGTAGGCGTCCATCTTGGTTTTCCGGCTTGTTAACTGGAACACTGTCAACTTGGGTGTAACGTCATTCCCAGCTCAGACATCCGACTTCTAAAGTAACTGTAACGCAGCATTAGCCACCACACAGACCAGCTACCAGCATAATAACGGCAGATGATACAAGAAAGAGCTACACATCTGCATATAAAGTGCACATTGCTGAACGATAATCAAAATAAAGTCTATGAATGAGGACAGTTAAAATGTTTTTCCCTAATGGCCATCCCCACAAAATCAGACCTAAATACAAAGAAGACTCATACTCTGGATTCTATGGTAGCTTACTGACAAATTATTACAGCTTTGGACTTTAGCATGTAGAAATAAACCAGGAAACACTATTGTAGGGGCGCCATACTAGTAATTGCAGATAATGTGAGCAGCCCTGTAATTGAACAACAGCATAAAAGCTGACATTCGAGGTTTAAACAGCTGCTGATGTCTGTTATGTTCTGGGAAAATCTATATAAAAGCTTTATGCCTGCACCCATGTTCCCGTAAATAGAGGCGATGCTCTGCAGGTGTTTGTCCTGTCAACATTCAGAGCGCTCCAAAGCTTGTAAAATGTAAAACCATCTGAAGCACAGAAAGAGGCCATAACAGTCACAGGAAAAGGCCAGCAGCAGCTATTCTTCCTCGTCTTATATTTATTTCTCCTCTCATTATGCCGCCCATTCACAGTACACACAATGGGCCTCCAGTGTGAATGAATGCTACAGTGTTATTTACGACACAACATCCTTTCAGACCAGGGGAAAAAAAAAAAGAACAAAGAGGTGAAAAATGCCTCCAGTACCCCAGTGACCATCTCTGCACCAGTCAGTGAGGTCGCTTTCCTCTCCAGGACTTTTTCACTCTCTCCTGATGTGTTTACTCTGCAATGAGCCGGAGCTCTTTTACACTCCTCCTGTGTTTGCTCTCCTCTGGTGTGAAGTACCGAGCTGGATTCCACATTCCCCTCCGGCTGGCTCTTATCCAGCAGCTGTTTGAGTTCGGAGCTCTTGTGAGAGAAAGTGGCTGCGGGCGGACTCTGCCATGTGAGAACAGCCGTCGACAAACTGATGAAACACAGGCTTGAACTGGCACTGAAAGGGAACACATGGGACGAATGCCTTGAACTGGCTGGTAGCGGGGTTGTAGTCAGCACATCATTAACTCTCCCATGAACTTTTATGTGGAGCCACTCCTACTGCCTGAAACCTTCTCCAGTTATTTGTAGAGTTCAAAACGTTGGTTCCTTTGTGGACTGTAGGCTAATCAAAGCGGCAGAAACATCTTGATGTGTTACTCTTTGATAGTTTTCAAATATAGAGTTCAACTCACTTGACCATGGAAAGAAAAAAAAAAAAAAAAGTCAGACTGGCTTGTAACACATCTACAGTCGAGTATTAGGGCCACATTAAGAAAAAAATTAAGACTTCGAGATTAAAGTCATTAATTTACAAGAATAAGACATTACAAAGGAGAATGAAGTTGTGCTAATTGATTACTTACAAGAATAAAGTCGCAATAAAATAATTTCTTACGAGAATAAAGTCGTAATCAACTACTACTTCTACTATAATAATGTGGTGCTAATGTGCCAAAAGATTAAGTATCCCCTCGTTTGAGAAACATATATTGAAGTACATTTGTACTTACTCACTTACTCTTGTAAGTGATTACTTAACAACTTTATTCTCGTCAATAATGATTTTATTACGACTTTATTCTCGTTATTAATTACTTTATTCTCGTAAGTTAATGACTTAAATCTCAAAGTCTTGAATTTGTTTTCCTAATGTGGCCCGAATACTCAATATTTATTAAGCCATAAATACTGACAGGTCCTTTATTATTTACACTAATACTTGCTGAGACCTGTTTCTGGTCTCAATTCTGGTTTTGATTTGGTGTATTCTTATATAATGTGTAAAATAGAGATATCATGGCGGGTTTTAAACTTATTAAATCAAATATAAAGCAGAGAAAGGGGATAAAAACAAAGATAAGTACCAAGCAGGGGCAGTCGATGACTTTCAGTGAGGCCAGCTACATCTTTTTGGAGCTGCTTTCATCAAAAGTAGAGGGTTTATGGTAAATCACTAGTTCAGACATCAGCTTTCAAATCCATCCGTCATAGTAAAAAAATCTATTCGGCAGCTGTGGAGAAATCAATGCCTTGAGTCAAGAAAACTGTCTTAGTTAAAGACTCGTGGGTGTAGATTTGAAAAAGTGTAACACGAGTAATCTTTAAGCTGCAGGTGGAACATTCACACCTTTGGAAAGTCGCCATAGTGTGCCATGTTAAGAGGATATTGATCCTGCAAGTCTTAGACCTCGGGCTTCTCGCTCAGTGTTTCCTAGAGTTATTGGAACTCACAGGAACAGGATGGAAACAGTCAGCGGAGTCTGTTTTTGCTTCAGGTTTCTGCTTGTCAAAAGGGTTTCCTCACCACTGTTACTCGCTTAATTTTGCTAAGTGCTTTTCCCATGCTGAACTAGTGTTAGGTCTTTGTCAGTATTATAACAATAAGACCTATTCTCTCTGTAGCAGATCAAAATCAGACATACTCTGGAGCTTGCATGGTTTGAAATGGATCTTTAATATTAATATACACACCTAATTTTTGTCTATGTTGCTCATACATTTAAACATAAGTGAAACCCCCCATTTGCTTTCAAATCTCAAACTGTTACCTCACCTGAGTTTGTTATGGAAAAAGACACACATAGAAGACGATAAAAGTGTTGTGTAGCTATACATCAGATGCTTCCTTACTCTGAAAATAACAACCTGCAAACTTTTGTTTTCCAGTCGATCTTTGCCTCTGAAGTCAGCTCAGTGAGGCAAAATATAAATTTTTAACTACATCTCCACATCATAAAAATAAACCCTGCATGTTTACGGTATGTAGGAATGAGGAGAAGGGGGCGTTTACAGAATAATATTCCAGATAAGACAGCAAAAAAAAAAAAAAAAAACCAACCAGGAGAAAGGAAAGCCAACTAGAAGAAAAGCCTGAAGGTTGCAGGCAGGTCTGAAAGCCAGTGAAGTGATTGATATACAAAGTCAGCTATGAGGGACCATCCTAATTACTCGAGGTTTGAATGTGACAAGCACCCCTCTACAAGTCCAATTAAAGCTCAGGGTCAGAGGCCACCCGTAGACCCGTGTTTAGGATTGTGTGGGCTGAATGAAGCGGAAAACCTGAAACAGCAGTACAAAGTTCATAACACTTCCTCCTCCTTCTCCTCCTCTGCACAGCTGAAAGTGTGCCAGCCAAGGAGTGTCGCTTTAATCAGAAGACTAAAGCGCACCGGGGTCTGATAAGGTTGTTGTAACCGAGAGGAGCCAGTCACCCACGGCGGGTTTGATCTTCTGTAATTACAGGATATGCTTCGTGGTAAAAGTCAACTGAGCGAGATAATGTGTTACAGTAATGAGGTGATTTAATCACATTAGGGCTTGGTCTGTAAATCATCAGCTGAGGAAGACACTAGGTTGATGTAGACCTCTCTGACCTCAGAAAACTGCAGAGTTTAACCTTTAATACTTGCCTCGATTATTTAGTATTCCTTATCCATGACATCTGGCAGGGAAATATGTAGGTCATTATGGAGATGTACAATAAAAGTCTTTAAGAAAGCTAAAAATGTCCGGTTCCTGAACTCTTTTAGGAGTCAGAACATCATGGATGAAATACTTTTGGAGTTTTAAATTGCTGGTCTGAAGATTATTTATTTAATAATTCAGAGATTATTATTCAACCTTGATCCAGCATGGTCTCAGTCGTCAGGGGCAGTGGGTTTGGTATACCTCACAATCAGTACTACAGCAATTTGTGTTCAACTATCATTCGGGTTGCTGGCAGCATGGCAAAAACAGACGGAGCTACACATCTGCATACAAACTGCACATTGCTGAACATAATGAAGCCTTCATGCTGGATCACAGCTCATACCCTGGTGCAGCTTATTTTCTGGATTGTATTGAAGTTGTTTTAAAAGCCTTAAAGTCATGCTTTGAAATAGATGGCAGATAAATTAATTTAAAACAGTGTACAGGCATGGTGTAAACAAAACAAATTATTATATTGTATATAGGTATGGTACAAATGAGAGATTTGGAGTATTCTAGGTACATATAAGTGCATATTTGTGTGGATATATGTGGATATAGGTATGAATGTATATCTGTATATTTGAGGTCTTTGTTTCAGTATTAATTATTTGTTACATATTCATGTTTGATTTTGGAGCCTTGGTTACTTTTTTGCGACATCAGAAATTCTAAAACTCTAGAGACATGTGAAAGGTAAACGAATAGGAAGGAATGAGGGTAGGTACATACAAGCTAAACAGCTTCAACCTACTCCTTTTCGATCTCCAAAAAATAGAGAATTTCTTGCCTAAAATGGTATTGTATGTATATTTGATCAAATAAACAATCTTTCTCTCTCAAAATAAAAACTACTTGATTACAACATAACAAGATCAACAAAGAAATAAGAGGTCCTGCTTTGGCAATAGGAGACTCAAAAGCCAGCGTCATAATCTCCTCGGGAGTTTTAGCGAGTACTTAGTAAACTGTGAGAGTATTGCATTCTCTGACTCAACCGCTGCAGTTTTCATATCATCATATCTGAAAGATTAAATCCAGTAACATCATTAAAATCAAAGCTATTTCCTGTGAAATGTCATTCACCTTAAGGGTAAAAGAGCAAATATCATATTGATTTAATCTACATGCGTCACTCTTGTTCAGACTGAGTCATGACATGCGGTGTGTCAGACACTTCAACTGAATCATCCCCTGAGCTAATCCTTAGACTTGTTGATATCAGCCCAGCAGTGAGACGTTTCGCTTTAGACTTGCTCCAAAACATACACGTTAAAATTGATCAGATCAGTTACAACTTTTACACGCTATAAAGCTTGTTCCATAACTCATCTAAATTGAAGATATTATGGCCATGAGTTATACATAGATCTATAAATTGTCTTACATGTACTCCACCTCTTTGCTTGTTTCTATGCCAACTGAGAGTTAGGTTTGAGGTACAGTGTGTAGAGAAATTGGGATAATTGGCAGTTGACAGATATATTGCTTTTCCAGTACTGATACTAGCACTGATATTTCATGATACCAACAACCAATATGTGGGACTGATAAGACTTTCTGTCAAAATATAAAATTTTAAATACCACAAACTGCAAGACAAAGTTTTAACAGGTTAGGTGTCTCAAGAAAACACACTGAGAGGGAAAGACGCACTGGCAGTGGAGCCAAGGCAAAAGGCCAATTTTGGCTCTGATAATAATTAGTCTATCCCCGTCATAGATATTGTATGTAGTAATACCATATTCCATGCCTGTTTTGCTAAAAGCCACAAAATACTTCATTCTCCTCAGCATTTCCATTACGGTGACTGCTATTGTTTTCAACACTTCTTTAGAAACCAGTGTGTGACGTTACCAGGAATGCATCCATGTTTCAAACAGGCTATGATTGAAACCAATTAGGCTGCATTCATGAAATCCATGTCACTCATTACATTAAACAGTATGTGTAAATGGATAGATAATCTCAAGACTATTTAGGGAAGGAGCTTTAACGAGGCAGACATGTTGAATATATCACAGATGACTCATTTCTGCGATCCCAACATCACATGCATATGTAATAACAGAGTCTGGTTCTTTGTGAAGATGTTGATACCTTCAGTAACTGACCCTACTGCGATCAATTATTCATGCCACTCCTATTTGTTTTACAGAAGACACAAACCAAAACTGTGTTTCAGTCAGAGCACAATGAATTTTCTCTCTTTGACAGCTCTGTTTACCGGTCGGATGATCTCTTCTCTGTGTTTAATAAACACTTCTGGAGCGGCTTCCTTCCTGGCAGCAGCAGAATCTGCTTTGAAAAGATTGGAAACGTTGCTTGATTTACGATTACTGGGCATCCGATACACTAATTTGAAGACCACAAGCTGAATTTAGAGACAGTAAAGCTGGTTTTTATTTTTTTTTTAAAGATTTTGTTATTTTTCTTTAGAATAGGCTTTAGGGGACACCTGCATGGTGACTAGAGGTGACTGAACCTTCTGGTCAACTGTAAACATAGACATTACCACTAATAATAGCTCACACAAACACACACCCGGTGTTTATTGGGGGGTAATTGACTTCAGTTCAGCCGCTGTGTGACCTGTTCATTCCACTCTGCTGTCACAGGTTAATCACTGTTTGTCACCTTCTGGACAAGACTGTGCAAACCTCGCTCGGTACAGCTCCAAATTAAACCACACCTAGTCCAATAAACCTGGTTCCTGAAATGTTTACCAAGAAGAATCATGCCGCCTAATCCACATGGGTAAAGGAGGGTTCGGTTAAAGTATGACTTTTTGGCATCATTAATCAAATAAAACCAAAGTACAAGTGAATATTTTATGAATTTATTTGGACGTAGTGGTTGAGTAATGTCAGTATTTCAATGGCTGATACCAAAGCCAATATTTACAGAGCAGGTAGGTCGAAAATTGGCTGATGCCAATTATTTCAGAATGCCATTAATCGTCCCAGTTAATCAGCCCAACAAATAAGTCGGTATTTCTTTATGAGGTAGTTAACCAACTTGTAAAACCTTGTGGTTGAGCCTAAAACACCCAAAAGAAATCAGCGGAGTGATGCAGATTGATCCTGTAATGCTTACGGTCAGTGTATCTTGGTAGATGGTGAAGCCAGCCAAATGCTTAAGTGTCAGTATAGTAATTCCTGACCAAGGCTAAACACAAAATCATTGGCACAGGGTGAACACGGCTTTCTGTGATTACTACAGCCACCCAGCTAACTTAGAAAACAGACTTTTGGTTATTTTTTTAATGCAACCAACATGGCTACCTCATGTGGACAGCTCATGCCAGAAAACAGAATTTCACCCTCCTCAGATAAAGTTAGGTCAAGATTCAGGAGTAAGAGCCTGGAGCTTTAACAGCAGTGTATCGAACCTTTGCTCTTGTTGCTCCTAAACTGGGTCAAGATCCTCACACAGTTACACTACTCTTTTAATGCATAATGCACCAACTCTCCAGTATTTCTGTTGCCGTGTTTGTAGAGTTCAGTGTGAACCACATCAGTATGAATCTGCATACAGATATAATTCCTAAATGATAAGTTGTACTATTTTTATCATTTATGGTCAAGAGGTGAAATGCTTCATGAATCAAACCCAGAGAGAGGTTTTTAAGGCTCAGGAAAGACTTCAAAGGAGAGATGAATAAGTTTGCCGGTAGGATTGTGTGTGTTAGTGTGTGAGTGTGTTAATGTCCAGGGTGGAGCAGGAAGTTTTAAAAGTTCCTTTGACCTGAGTCACTGTCAGATCACAGCAGGGTGGCTACAGTGCTGACTGTGCTCTTTGAAGGAGAGTTGCACTTTAGTTTTCAGACTTTCATAGCTAGCATTGTGTCTCAGTTTTTCCTCAGCACATCAGAAAAAAGGATATGATACTTGTCTCCTTTATTTCCTAATCTCAACTCTTACATATTTTTGGATTTCTGGTCATAGATATTGAACATGTAAACGATTTCAAAGCAGAGGGGCCCAGATAATCTTACGAGCACACTGAGGAGGGTAAAATCTCTTGAAACATACGTCACATTACAGATTATCTGACAAAATAATCCTCAAAACATCAGGCTTTTACAATCTATGCCTGGAGAGGAGTCAGGCCCAAAATTGAATGGATCATCATGTCGTGTACCCATCATAATACGTGTCCACCATGTACTCTGCTGATCCAGTTTTATCCACAGCTGCATTTTTATTTAATGAAGAGATCACAAATGAGGTTCTGAATTAGGTTTTCTTGAATCTGGGGAGGCACCTTAATGTTCCAACATGACTGTCTCTCTTTCTCTCAAAATGTATGAAAAGTGTAATTTAACTGTTCAGAAAGTTTTTGCAATAGGGAAATGTTTTACTTTATCCCTTAATGGAACTCCTGTTGTTTTGAAGTTGCTTAGTGCCATTTTAAATCTGTTTTTTACAACCTGAGAGGTGAGGGAGAATTGACTCGACAGCTAATGAAATGGAAAACAAAAGCATTTCCATATTGCAAGTGTAATTGCCTGGAGTCATGGGAAAATAACTTTCTGCATAGTCATTAAATGATACCCTTCAGAGTCACTGACTTGATATGCAATGGTTGACTTGCCGTGTTATGTATCAGTATTGGAATTACACTGCAGGCAATAATAATAATAAAAAAACTCATACTGTTTCACTTTCAGCTGTCTCTTCTGCCGACGGCTGCATTTTTAAAGTTTCTGAAATTTCACCTTTTCCTTTATGTGCTTGTCTCTTTCTCACTCTTAGAGCAGTGTTGGGACCCCTACTGGACCTTTCTCCTCCTGCCCAGACTTTAATGATGGTGGTAGATTCCCTTGATGTAGGATTTGAGGCAGGCATGGGAGGTGGGAAGAGCGGCTCCATTGCAGAGCTTCTGGCCGCCAACCAACACCTATTGCCTGGCTGGCTGCTGCTTGTCTGCTCTGTCCGCCGCCACAACAAAGCTGTGTGCAAGATGTTCTCAGGTAGGAAAGAAAGATAGCTGCAAAAAAAAATGAAAAATGTTTCTGGATCCAGAGCCATAAGAGTTGAATTTAAAGCCTACATTTATTGGAAATTGTGCCAAATGTTAAACTGAAAAATATGATTGTTTTATAAAGAACTATGCTCATTTAAATAGGCAGTTCAAAACATGTTTCCATTAGAAGACCAAAATCTTGAGTTAAATTTTGTCCCCTAGATCCTTTAAGTCTTTGAAAGACATTTAGTGTTAAAGATTAGTGTTTACAAAGTGTCCCAACGCTTGTGGAATTGGTGTTGTAATGTATGTTGACAGGAAAAAGATGAGTTAAGTAACATAAGGCTGTCAAATTTATTTGTAAGTTATACCATAGCACATCCATACCTTTATGGTAAATAAAATGAAAGCCCTTTTACTGCATAATAAAAAAACTACTAGATTAGTAATGTGTTTTCTAATTTTACCCTGGTTATGATTTTTGCACATGGGGTCCTTGATTTTGACCCTTTTATATAATTAGTATTGCAGTTAATTTCACCATCCACATTAACGATGCATCAAACTGCAAGTTCAGAAAAACCTATCTGTAAAGACTTACACTGATGAATTTGACTCATTAGTGCCTGATAATAGCCTTTACAGAATAGAGAAAAGCATCTTTGTGCTCATGCAAAAATAGCAAAAAGGATCTTTGAAAGAGTTTAAAGCTGGTGCTCGATTGAGTGCTCTGGTTATACGCCCCAGCTTTGCTTGTGCAATGAATTATAAATGAGGGAGATGTGTTGTGTAATGGAAACTAATGATCAGATTATACAGCACAGACTTTATCTGCTAAATTTAAAATGTAAAGCACTCCAACCGAGGTCTTCTCATCCATTAACACTTTTGCATTATGATACATTCCAAATGTAATAGTACACAATAAAATACAAAGAAAAACTTTCAAGCTAAAACAAAAGTTCTTCTCAGTGATTCAGCATTCTGTAGGCCATCTGTTTTTCTGACTTTGGTTGTTAAACTAAATTATTAAATCTGGGGAAGAGACAGAGAAAGAAAAACAAATGCACCAAAATAACTTTTAAAACTACGTTGGCATTCAAAACCTGTAATTTTCTATGTTGCAGGATTTCGGAAGCTCTGTCTGGATGATCTTCGCAAGCCTCCCCCAGTCCGTGACGTGCAGCAGTATATCCTCTGCCGGCTGGATGAAGAGGCAGCACTCCGCCGTCAACTCACCCCTGACACTGCTGACATGTTGAATCTTCTGCACATCAAGAGCGGCGGCTGCTTGCTTTTCCTTGAGCGTGTGCTGGATGGTGTGGCAGGTGCACTGGTGGGTCTCAGGGAGATTCGGGACATACCTGGGACTCTGAATGGCCTCTACCTTTGGTTGTGCCAAAGACTGTTCCCTCGGGGGCTCTTCGTCTATGTCCGGCCTCTTCTCAATGTCCTTCTGGCTGCTCCTCAGCCCCTCACACCCCAACAACTATTCACAGCAGTTTGGACGCATGACAACTTGCTCAGCCTCCAGGACTTCCAAAACAAGCTGCGAACCCTCTCTCCTCTCCTGATCGATGGTCCTGAGGGCACCAAACTACTTTTTCATGCCAGTTTTGCTGAATGGCTGACAGATGTGAAGTACTGCACACAGAAGTACCTGTGTAGCAAAACTGAAGGTCACAGTATGCTTGCCATGGCTATGACTTTGCAAGGACCCTACTTGGACATTGAGGATACTTGCCAGCTAGCCACACATTTAGTTTGCTCAGGTCACCATAAAGAAAACCCTTCATTATTAGCACTCTGGATGCTGTGGGCAGATATACCTGTTTTTTCTCCCAGCAGCAGTGGTACTTTCAGCACACCCTCAACCCACCCTCCTGTGCTGGTCAGCCAGGAAGTCCTTCAGCTGTTAATGAAAAGTGGGCTGGTCCCTGCAGCCTTTTTTGCAGATGCTGACCCAAGTGTTGAAGTGCATTGTCTCAGTGAAAATGATATGAAATCACAGCAGGAATTTGAAAAGGAACTGTCGATAAAGAAGCTGTTAGACAGTGGGTTGTCTGTAACACATATTGGTTCCTTAGATGGACAGACCTTGCTTGCCAATGCAGCCCATGAAGGTTCTGCAAATGTAGCTGAACTTCTCCTTACACATGGATACAGTCCCCTGGAAAGTGACGTTCATGGTCAAACCCCACTGACTTTGGCTTCTCGACAGGGTCATGTCAAAGTTTTATCTGTGCTCCTGGAGTGGGCCAAGAACCAGGAGCATGAAACTGCAGTGCAGATGATGGAACATGTTGACAATGAAGGCTGGACAGCGCTGCGTTCTGCAGCTTGGGGTGGTCACAACGAGGCCGTCAAGCTCCTTCTGAATGCCAGAGCAGATGTGGATGGATGTGACAGTGAGGGTAGAACTGCTCTAAGAGCTGCTGCCTGGGGTGGTCATGAAGAAATTGTTTTGACCCTGTTGGACTTTGGGGCTGAGGTTGACAAAGTTGACAGCAAAGGCCGGACACCCCTTATTGCTGCTGCTTATATGGGACATCATGAAGCTGTGGAGATTTTGCTGGACCATGATGCAGATGTTAACTTAGCTGACGGAGATGGGCGAACAGCTCTGTCAGTTGCTGCCCTGTGTGTTCCTACAGCAGCAGGTGTCAAAGGTTATGGTGAGGTGGCGAGTTTGTTGCTCGAGCGTAGAGCAGATCCGGGCCATAGAGACAACGATGGTATGACACCATTGCTTCTGGCAGCTTATGAGGGCAATGATGACGTAGTTGAGCTACTGTTGGAAGCTGGTGCTGATGTGGATGAGACTGCTGGCCTTGATGGTAACTTCTCTGCTGCAGCTGCTGTTACTCCCCTGCTAGCAGCTGCAGCGATGGGTCACATGAAGACAGTTTCAAGGCTGCTCTTTTGGGGGGCAGCTGTAGATGCCATCGATTGTGAGGGCAGGACAGCCCTTTGCCTGGCAGCAGCAAGAGGCAGCGTTGAGGTTGTCCGTTCCCTGCTGGATCGAGGCCTGGATGAGAACCACAAAGATGACCTTGGCTGGACTCCACTGCATGCTGCTGCATGTGAAGGCCATCGGGGTGTATGTGCTGCCTTGACAGAGCGAGGCAGCATGGCTCGTGTTGGAGAAATGGACATTGAAGGACGCACCCCTCTTATACTGGCTGCTCAGGAAGGTCATTGGAGTACTGTTAGGCTGTTGTTGGACAGACGTTCTCCCATCGACCACAGAGCGTATGATGGACACTCTGCCTTGAGTGCTGCCTTACTTGAGGGGCATGCTGAAGTTGCAGACCTGCTTATGAGGCGAGGTGCTGATACTGATGTACGAGATGCAGAGGGAAGGCCCCTACTCTACCTCCTGGTGTTGGAAGGCCGCCTTGAAATGGCTATATTACTCATAGAGAAAGGTGGAGTACCCTTGGAGTCCAGAGACCCTGAGGGCCGTACAGCACTTCATGTTGCTTCATGGCAGGGAAATGTGGAGATGGTAGACCTACTTTTGAAGCATGGAGCAAACTCTAATGCACAGGACACAGAGGGGAGACCACCACTGCATTCCATGGCTTGGACGGGACATGCTGAAGTAGGTCGTCATCTCCTAGAAGCTACTGGCATCAATATTGATCTTGCTTGCCACCAGGGAGCAACAGCTTTGAGCATCGCTGCTCAGGAGGGGCATGTTAACATTGTTGCAATGCTTCTGGAAAGAGGAGCAAACCCCAATCATATGGATAAATATGCCCGTAGTCCAATCAAAGTGGCTGGGAAACACGGCCACTTTAACATTGTCAGGCTTTTGGAAAGCTATGGAGCAAAGCCATATGTGGCCCCATTAACCACTAGCACTTTCTCCCCAATAAAGCCCAACAAGATCTTCTCCTCAGGCATCTCAAATAGTAATAGAGGTGAAATCACCACTACCTCCTCCTCTTCAGTTTCTTCTCCTGGCTCCACCACTGAACGATTCCACTCCATGCAGAGCTCCCAAACCTCATCTACTTGCCACTCTCTGGCCACAGTTCAGACAGTGCCGGCCGACAGTCTCAGCTTCATTCAGCAGATTCAACAGCACTCACTCCCACGCAGTCGTAGCCGTCCCTCCACCCTCCCTCCACCTGGGAGTTGCATGGGCAGCCTCCATGGAAGCAGCCAGAGGCATCCCAAAGGCAGCCCACCTACAGTTTGTACAGTCACTGCCATGGTGCATAACTGTGAACTGCCTCAGAAAAGCTTGTCTGGACTTGAATATAATGACAAACTGTACAAAAAACACTCGACTCATATAAATAATGACAGGACTACTTATACTGGTGGAAAATGGCAATCCGTCATGACCTCCTTGGGGATAACGCCAGGGCAAGACAACCCTGCAGTAGGTGCTAAAGGCCTAGAGAGCCCCCCTCTGGGCTACCCACACAGGCTCCAAAGCTCACTTCAAGGGAAAGTTTGGGATTCTATACCCAAAAAGAACATTTTGTCACCTAATTGCTACAGTTTTAACCCAGTCTCACCTTGCAGTGCCTTGCCACAAGACGTTATGGTTGCTATGACAACTGCTGATCCACAGCTTAATCTGAAACAGGCCATTAAACTGCAGTTTGAGGGTCCCACCAGTGCAGCCTTATACAAGAGAGAGACACCCCTGTAACTGACTGTCAAGTGTGACCAAAGCTGCTACACAAAAGTAAATTTTAGTCCTAAAATTTAGCAGCCATTCAGAAAAAGACATTTAAATGTGAGTAATTTCCCAAAATACTTGCTTTTACAAGACTTTTTTATCACTCCTAAATCAATATTTTAACTCTGGCTTGAATACATGGAGGATTTCAGCTGACCAACTGATATCAGTTTTTTTTTCCCATTACGTCACAGATTATCCAGTTTTCCAAAGAAAGTGTTGTTTTTAATGAAATACAGTGATTTGCATTTACAGAAATTTAAGGTCCATTTGCAGTATATGTGGGGTTTTTTTTCTTGGGAGAAAATTGACATTTCAGCAGTTCAGTGAGGTGGCTCTCACTGGATTTTAGTGACTCTCCTGGTTTGTTTTAGAGTCCAAGTGAGCTGTTTCTTAACCCAAAGCTTCAAACGTGAGGATGTACTTCAGTGCTTACATGAGCTTACACCTTTCTGCTTTGTTTGTTGAGCAAGACTTTGCTTTTCATTTCAAGTAAAGACTACTTCATTTTCCACCTGGAACTTATTTTTCCCAAGTGTTGAAGTCTTTATTAGCTCTACATTGAAAAAACACTGCCTATAATCGAGCACAAGTTTTTAGGTAGGATATGTTTTGAATTATTTTTGCCACTAAAGATTTCTTTTTCTGTGGGGTCAACGTCTTTGTTTAGGAGCTTGTGGCCTTGATTTTTATTAAAGCCTTTGATATTTACTATAAACTGGCCTATATCCCCGATGGGCTTGTTGCTGACAACCAAAATCATTTTACTGAAATGCAAGCCTTCCAAAGCCTGACCCAGTGAGTGTTTATGATACAAACTTTAAAGGACAGCCAAGCTAACTGAACCAAGTTGGCTCCCCCAGCATGTCTGTGAGCAAGCAGGAAGAAAAAGGAAAATTGGACTGTAAAAACTGAGGCTGGCTGTGGGAGGGTTGTTTATGCTGAACTTGTTTGTGATAAAAAAAAACATTTTTTTTCCATTGAACTAATATTTAATTATACTCATTCATTAAAGTGCCATGAAGTTTTCTGCTTTTGCTGTGTCTTCCTATTTGTGAAATTGTTTAAATGTTTAATGTCCTGCACTGTACAACAAAATGTCATGGAAATCTTTTGATGTGAAGCATCATGCAGAGATAAAAAGGCTGACAGTAGCTGGTGGTTGCCACATAGGATTACAAAACCAAGCGCCCAAAGACCGGTATAGACTAAAAAGAGGAGGGTTTGGCAGACCACGTCCAAATTAACTGATCCTATGTGGTTCCAAATGTTTGATCTGTTAAATACTTCATGGATATTTTATCTTGGTAGTTAAACTTCTGCAGTTTACATGCACAGGTGTGCTGAACTTAATGCCATGAGGAGCTCTCCTGTCAATATTTGCCCTGACAAACATCTATTGCCTTAAAGACTAAGTTATGCTTTTCTTTCTCTAGAGAGCTCAGAGCTTTTCTCCCTTTGTGCTGTGAATGTAATTACCTTCTAAAGCTTTACAGCCAACTGCTTCTTCTTTTAACTTTTTTTTTGCTCCAGAATCATGATTCATTATAGTTTTTTACCAAGCAGGCCTTTTCACACATCCAGATACTTGTTGTCAGCAGGTCATATTTCTTAAATCAACGTCAACTCAGTTAAGTACAGCAAGTTCCGCGCATTTTCTTTTATATCCTGGAGGTAAGCGCTATAGCAGTTTGATATGATGGTGTAACACAGAAAAGGTTTTTGTCTATTTCACTGAACAGAGCTTCTTCAGCCATTATCGAGTCATTTAAAATGACAGAAAAAAACCCACACTTAAACATAGATTTTAATGAAGACTAACAAATAAATGCACCACAAGAAAACTCCATAAAAAGGTAAAAAGTTGGTCTGGTTTTGGGGTGTCAGTTCTCTTCAGAAGAGCAGTCATCACAGGAATGGACGCTAGCATCTCTCTATTTTTGGTATCACGTAACTGCTCAAGTGAAAGTTTACACAGTCTGAGGCTAGATTTGATGTGCTGAATTCTAAACCATGTTTGTGATGATTACAGCTATACATCTGTGTTATTTGAAAGCTCTTACCCCCTTTTTATACAAAATGAAGCTTTTGATATGGTGGAGGAAGATAGCAGATCAAAGGAAAGCAGTAATGCTGTCTGCATGCTACAAGTGTACGATTGTATGCATACGGCTGGGAAGTCACGCAGCTCAAATTGGTGCTGACAGGTGTGTTGGAGCCTTTTTAAAGACCAGCTGGAAAGGTCGGCTGTAGCTTTTAACTATAGTGCTGCTACTCTATATTTTTTCTGGGAGAAACGTCAGCCTACTCACTGATTTTAATGTAAGGTAAGTGAAAAGGGCAAACATGTTTTGGAAAATTTGTTTGCATAAAGAATCACCTGCCTTACCTGGTTGACAGGTTCCATAGATAAACATCATTCTCAGTCAGGTGCACAGAGCTCGGGAACAAAAATTAATTTCAGCTTGTTTGGAGACACTTAAGCAATATGTGCAGCCTGAGAAAGTAGGAGCCTCTACTACTGTTAAAACCTGCAGCGCTCAATAACGATCTAGTGTTTTTATTTTGGTGACTTGTGTGTAGGAGCCCAGTCATTTCCATAATGCTTCCTCTACAGCTTGAGGGTGAATATGAGTCAAAGCAGCAGCCTAGTTGAATTCGGTGAGCACTGGTTTATGACGTTCCCACGTGAATTGTTAATCTTCAAATTGAACAGTGGCTCCTATCAGACAAAACACCCCAGTATAAAACTATATTTGTCTGTATTTTGTATTGGGATTTTAAAAAGATAGCCGTCAGCTGCAGAGAAAGAGTGTGTTATTGGCAGCTTGTGAGCGTGTGAAAATCCCTGCATATTTTATTCAGTTCATTCTGCAGAGCTGCAACCGTGTTAACTATAACTGTATGATGTACAAGGATTTATTTGGAGACTTTTACAGGGCTCTCAAGTCTCACGCATTCAGCGTGAGACACACGCATTCCCACCTGTTCACACGCTCACACGCCACACATTGTATTTCTCACGCATTTAAATGAACATGGTGATGTCCACCAAGTTGCACCTCTTTAACTATGGAACAGGGGGAAATCAACGGAGTTTCTCCGAGAGTTCAGAAGCTGCGTGCCACGCGCAAGCCAATCAAATAAAGTATATCTACTGAACAGCCAATCAAAAAGCAGCATTGCTGTATCTGGGTAAATTTTGATATCTTGACAGACACTTGCTGAAATAGAGCAGGTTTTTATAAGGACGAGATAGACCCGATGATTACAGTAAGTCAGTAACCTACACATGCAGAGACCTCAACACCTCATGGCAGATAAACTCATATGATAAACTAAAGCCCTATGCTATTGCTATTAACAGCTGCATTGATGAATTTAGCCTCTGTACAGCCATTTCCCCTCCACAAAAGCAGCATTTCTCATATATTCTTTTTAAAGTTCTGATACTCGTGACAGTGTAATGCTGATATACCAAAGGATTAAGTATCTCCATGTCTGTGAAACCTATACTAAAGTACAATTCATCTAAATGCTCCTCAGTGCTGATTTTAACAACTCTCCTCCACAACAGATAACTTTACTACTTTATTCTTAAAGTCATTAATGACTTTATTCTCCTAAATAATAACTTTAATCTCAAAGATTTAAAAATGTTTTTTTCTTTCTTAATGTGGCCCTCATACTCCATTGTATTTATTAGATTATTATACTAATAATTATCTTCAATCACTCTTCGACCCCCCCCCCCCCCCCCAAGGAAATCTCACTCCAAGCTTAGTTCAAAACTTGAGAGCCCTGCTTTTATGTAAAAGCTGGGTCGCCTGGAAGCAAGTAAATTTGACCGCAGGGGTGACAGAGTGCAAGTGAACTGTAGAGAGGGGTTACCAGACTGAGGAACAGGAAAGCTGGATGACAGGATGACCAGCTGGCTTGGAAACAAAAAGGCTTGCTGATGTGTGGAACAATGGAGAAGCAGGATAGCTCAGCAACTAGGAAACAGCTGATGGGAAACAGGAAGACTCTGCGGAGAAGGGAGTGAAATTTACAGCAGGGACCTGAAACCTCTGGAGCGTGAGGCTATAGTAGAAAATGGGTCTTTAGTAGCACCTGGTGGCAGGGGCAATAAGGTACAAGTATGTCTTACGTTAAACTTAACCAATAGGGTTTCCAGTGCAGCAAACTTTTGAGCTAAACTTTACAGAAATCCAAAATCGGTTCATGATAACATGACTTTATTTATTTATTTTACCGCCGATAATATTGTGCATAAATGCTACAGAGAAGGATAGCCTACCTTTGTTTAATCAGTAACATCAAGCAACATTAGCCTGCTAGCTTAATTTGCTCATAATACGTAACTCCTTCAATGTTACTGGATGTCCGTCTTGCTCATCCTTGTCAACTCGACAGAATAAGTTTTGAAATTATTTATACGGGGTCAGAGCATTTTCGACACATTAACATAGCTGCACCTACCTTGTCCAGGAGACAAGAGAAAGAGGAGAGGTTTCAGGGAATAGACGTAGCCAGATCATTCCAGCTGTATTTGCAGCTGTTTGATGAAAAATGAATGAAAAATAACAACCAGTAAGATTAGCTCTTGTACTTTGGAAAGCAGAGACAGAAAAAAGGCTGATGATTAATCTTGAAAGTAAAATCAAATTATAAATTAACTTAGATAAATGAGTGGAGTGCAACTTCATGGTGTGTTTTAAAACCATGACAAGCCAAGTTTATTTCTATAGCACATTTCTACCAATATTTGAAGTACTGAACTCAAAGGATATGACAGGCATATAAAATTATTTAAACAAACAGTATAATAAGCAACAGAAGATAAAGACAGTTTAAACTGGAGCCAATAATGATGTCAAGAAAGAGCAGTGTAGTGTAGAGATAGGTGAGATATTAAAAGAGTAATAGAAAAATAAACTAGACTGGAAGTATTTAACAGAAAAATACTTGTTACACATTAATGTTGAAGGTTAAAGATAAAATAATTAAGTGGCTTCTTGACTTGCCTCAATTTTTTAAATTCTAATTGCACTGTAGGAGGCAGCGAATTTGAGATAATGAGATGATATATATTGTTTGTGTTTCAGGGTTACCATTAAGAAAACAGTAAGCATTAAACTTTCTCATTGAAAGCTTAATGAGATAATTACATATGCCCTACAGTGAAGCACTCAGGCACACTGCTCCCATATGGTTACAAGTACACTTGGTGGATACATAAAACAACCTCTTCCATACCCACAGATGAAGCTTTATAAAGCCACCTCATGCCTTATAAAGCCACAAATCTCATTGGGCTGTTCTTGATGACGCCTCATTGATATGAAGTTGTATGATATTATGATTGTAATTATGACATGTTCTCCTATAAACTCTTTTTTTTTTTACTTCTGCTCGAGCCCACATCTTGAAGGCACCAGTGTAAATGAGTGTGCAATAACAGTTTGATCTATGCAGGGGCTTGGGTTATGATAATGAATCCCTCAAATGCGGAGGAAATTGACTTGAAATGCAAACAAAGCTCTCATGTACCTCTTCACTTGGCAAGAGATATGAGCAAGTGGGTGTAAGACCCACGGGATTCCTCCTTCTGTTCTTTCCCTGTGTTGTGTCGATATGTGGATATTAATTTTGGTCTGCACACAGATTGTTACCATGATTGGTGTGCTGCAGAATTTAACTCAAATGCACCCGCTGGAACAAGAAACCACTAATGTACTGTTAAACAAGTGACATTTTTTAAATTAGATTTTGGGCATGACTTATGTGAAATGAAAAATTCATATTAGGAAAGTGGTTTATTATTATTGGAAAATAACTGGTTTAAACAGACATTTAACAGTCTTAAATAAACCTGTTGAAGCAATGCAATGGTTCCTCTAAGTGATAGAGGAGTTGAAGTTGGCATACTATAATAAAATAGCCCTTTAATCTAAATAACTGCAGTAAGAGTAAATTTATTCAAACATTTTAAATGCCTAATCCCAAACCAGCAGCACCCCTCTGAATGAAACATCTGCTAAAGACAGACACATTTTACTAAACAGTCAATGCTTATGAATCACCCGCATTTGTATCAAGCTGCACTAGATCAAATTTAAAAAATACAGTCAATCAAAGAGATATGGATGAATATGACAGACACAGCTGGTGCAAGCAACAGAATCCCACTTGTCAGTAAAGGTCAATGACAATGTAGAAATGTGTGAAAATGATGCCAAGGTTTTATAGAACAAAAGCTTGTTTTATGTTTTAAAATAATAATGATGGAAAAGCAAGAGTACAAGCATTTCCAACAACAACAACAACAACAACAAAAAATTATAACTTCAAATTGATGCCAGTTTTTATGATTGATTCATATTTGTCTTCACATATTTGTCATTTTGTGATCTGTTCTCTAAAGGCCTACATGTCCTTGGAAAGTTTCAGTGAAACACACAGACATAAAACAGACAACAAACAGACTCTGATTTATTACTTAAACTCAGCAGTGCTCTAAGGAGCAGACAGAGAAGTCTAACTAAACTATAATACAGTTACACACATATATTTTACCTTTATGATTAATTTGCAGCTTTTGGCTTACAAATCTATGTGGACACCTGGCTGCTAGACAATAATGAACCAGATAGCAATAAATCAATTTCCATATTTTCTTTGTCTGTTCACAAGCCTCTTTAGACTGTATTTGCAACTTTGTGGTTGCATTAATTTACACAAGTTACTTTTTAAAGGATTTTTTACACAATAGGTCTCAATTGTGATTGGTAAACTCCCTACTGCATGGACCAGTGTGAGATTATGATGACCTTAAGCTAAAAATAACATGGCTTCACAGTATAAGGATAATGCAATCACAGCTTGAAAATGTGTTATATTTGAGATGTCTGAGACTCTGAGTAAAAAAAACAACCAGACTATGCCTACTCTTCACAATGGTACAACGGTATTTACACATTTCTTCATATTGATCTTTCTAGTGCTGGTTGACATTGTACTGATAAATCTTAATGCAATGGTTCATGCTGTCTGACACTGCTAGTTGGCCCTCAGGTAGTAGGGTCAGGCCACGTGGACTACTTAAGCCATGGCTTACTACAGGCCAACCAACCCCTTGTGCTGGGTAGAAAAGGACTCTGTGCTGCTCTCCCCAGTCTGCAACCAGCACGTTGCCAGCTGTGTCAATACAGATACCCCAAGGGCATGCCAAGACTGGTCCCATACCAGCACACACACCTAGAACTCTTACAGTGTTCCAACCTGGTTCGAGAACTTTAATACAAGGAACACGTCCTGTTTCATTGCCCCTTTCAGACACAGCTATCATGCCTGAGCTCAAGCAGGCTGCTACTAAGTAAGGCCGGTGGAATCCAGTCACCACTGTGCGCTCAAGACGGCAGCCAGTTTTAGGCTCAAGCTTCAGGGCTATGAGGGTACCTTTTCGAATATCAGCTACCAAGAACTCATCCAGTCTGGTCACAGTCACACCCCTTGGAGCCTCTAGCTCATCTTTTGCAGAGCCTAATCCCGACCCTCCAAAAGTCTGTAGCAGACGACCATGCCGGCTGAACACAAGAAGGGCTCGCTCTGCTGCACAGCTAAGTGCAATCAAACCTTTAGCATTGACGGCAATATCAAAGTAATTCCGACATCGTCTTGCAGAGGCATCAGAATTGGAAGAGGACACTTGCTGGAGGACATTTCCCCGTGGATCAGTCACCTGTTTGAATGTAAACCATTTATTAAAACACAATTTTTGCCATTGTAATAGTGTGCTTTCTACATCACCAGAAGTTACATAAAATATACCTGAACACGGGCATTCCCACAGTCGACTATATAGAGCTGGCCCTGTGGTGTGGCATGGATACCACTTGGCAAAGTAAGGTCAGACCGACCTGAACCCTGCTTTCCAAACTGCCTGATCAGGTGGATTCCTCTAGGGTTTAATGCTGACAAGGATGGACTGCTCTCCTCTTCCAGTTCCTCCAAGGCTGGCTCTGCTCTCTCTCCTCTACCCCTCTTTAGTTCTGGACAGGTTCCCTCAATGTAAGGCATGGATAAAGACCTTGCTCCCAGGGGTTGCTTCGAGGCAGGTAATAAGATTTTTTTCTGGGGCTGTTGCAGAGTATTATAACTTCTGTATGTTGGGTATGCAAGTGTCTGTCCCATGTCAGAAACTGTTGATCCTCTGCTAAGAATTGGTGAAGTAGCTGTAGAGCTGGTCGTGGAATCAAAGTTGCTACACTTGACCTTCCACACTCCTACATTCTCATTTGTTCCGCTGCTAATCAATGGGCGTGTCTTGTGGGTCAAGTCCACTGCGGACTTTGACAGACGGCAACTGTAGTTCAAAGACCCCCTGTTCATGCTGTAGTCATGTGATGGGCTCACGATAAAAGTATAGCTAGAATCAAGACTGTCTGTTGGAGATGGTGCTCGACCAGAATCACCGAAGGTCCCTAGAGAATGTTCATCAGAGGACTGGCTAAGGCAAGAGTGAGGTCTGCCCCTGGAGGTGAGGTCTAGGCAGCTTTGGCTGGTCAAAGGTTCTCTTGGAGTCATTCTTGGAGAGGATAGACCATTGTTACTGTACCTCAAATGTCCACTGCTGGGGTCTTGCCCATATTTTCCTGTTCTTTCATCATGGCTGTCTAAACTCAAGCAATGACTGAGCTTAGTGTGCTCCTGTCTTCGTTCAGGTGATGGGGATGGCCTCCTACCAGTAAATGACTTCCTCTGATTTCTGGGAGAGAAACATTTGCCATTACTTTTCATTTTGTACTCATCTTTGCCATCAGTATCCATGTTTTTAAGTACAGAGGGTACAGCCAGAAATATATCCTCCCCCTGTGGCTGGAAAGACGCTGGATCCATCTCATCCTGGGATGACTCAAAGTCAGACTGTTCAGCCTTTGGCAGCCAGGGACGTATCCTTGTTGGGGAGAGCTTTTGTTCTTCCTCTGATTGGAGATCACTACGGTTAGACAGGCTGATCTTCCTGACAACCCTGCCTGTTGGTGAGGTCAAACCCTGCTGTGGAGTGCTTTTCTGTCCTCCAATACTTTGATGCTTTATTCCTCCACTCTGTATCTCCTGTGAATGGAGAGCACACAGCTGGCCATGCGGCCCACAACCTCCAACATGCAGACACAGGTTTTGTTCTTGCACACGAATATCTCCAAAAGCTACAGCGTTAGGTTGGGAGCTGGGCTTGAAGCTCACTTTCTTTAGAGAAACTGAAATTTCCCAGGGTTGCAAAAACTCTGTGACTTCTTTGAGCATCAGGTTTTGGTTTGGTCCTTTTTCATCAAGACCTGACTGTTGGCCCAACTCCTGAATCTGTTGCTGAAGATGATCCAGTTTACGAAGCCTCTGGTCCATCAAGGACTGGCTGACCCGAGCTGCCGCCATGTTCTCCCTTTGGATCTGTTCCAGACGCTGCTGAGTGTCTCGATGGTCCTGCTCCACCCTCTCAAGCAGGCGCTGCTCTTCTCTTCGTGCTCCCAAGATGGCACGCTCCACACCACGCTTAACAGTTTCAGTCTCAGTTGCATGGTGCTCTTGTAGGCGGCGTAGCTCCTCCTCTGCTTGGGCAAGGTCACATTGTGCCTGTGATGCCCAGCATGGAAGTGATCGAGGCTCAAGAACAGGGGAAGTATCATCTGACTGACCCTCAGAACTTGGATGACGGACTGGGATTGGGGAAGTGGGATTGCTACCCAAAGGAGATCCCGCATACATCATGATGGGTCTGTCTTTACCTATCTTCTAGTTGTTGGAGTTCCAGCTGAAAAGTATTCAAAAGAGAAGGAGGAAGATGCATGGTCATATAAACAACAAAATCATGTACAGCATGACGGCTTACATACTCAGGCTTCATTGTCAATGCTCAACAGTCGTTCTTTTCAGGAACAGTATTGTATTGTTTCACTTGTAAAGGCGGCTGAAAATTGAACTTTTTATCTTAACTTATCAGAATGTTATTTACACCCAAAATGACACATTACTCTACCAAGAACACATTATACCTCTCAGATGCAGAGTTTTCAGTAGACTGATGTTGTTGGCTAGCTTGGCTAACTTTCCAGGATTGATATAAAATGCAAAGACATTTTTTTTAGTGCTGGTTCATTGTTTATTGCTATCTCGGCATGAGCAGCAGAGCCAGGCCTGTCTCAGTGTGGTGGCAAGGTCTCTTAAAATCATTCTGATCAACTTGTGGGAAACAAGTTGATGACCTTCTCCCCCCACAGTGACCCATCTTTGCATCTTTCTTGGATGGAAGTTGAAGTCTGCTATGTTTTCTGCTGCTTGCAAACTTGGCAGTCTGACAGCATTAGGGTCCTCTTGTTTCCTCTGTACTACAGTGTCCATCTATAAATCTGATGTGAAAATAAAAAAATCAGGTACTTTAGTTGACAGTTGTGTATTTCTGTCGGTGTGGTTATTGTGTCGGCTATAGGCCATTTTTCTCTGGACATGACATCTTGAACCAAACTTAAGGGCTGGCACATACAAGGTAATATCATCTCAGCTCAGATGTGATTTTGTTTTATTGATAAATATGAAGATGCACTGGTTTAAAAAAGTCAGAATAACTTGCTCATTTTCCTCAAGCAACTGCTATTTTTTATATTTACTCCAGAGATGTCTCCTATCAGAGGTCTTCCGAGGCAACTGAGAAAAAAACAACAACTCTCATGGTAAGGTGATACAGCTATAAAGGAAGGCCAGTACGAGAGACGGAGCTGTGGGCAGAACAAACGAGCAAAGAGGAGGAAGAAAGTTTCGAGTTTTTTGCACTGAGAAGTTTATTAGCATTTCAAATGGCGGCAGACAGCCAGAAGCACCAAGAGTGAAGGCGAGAGTGGGAGGTAAAGAGACAGCCTGAGTGTCAACACAACAATACTTCTCAAATCCCCAGTACTGCAAATAGACCCCGCTTTGATATTTTATTCATAAGCAGAACAAAGTGATGTAGGGAAATGGCGTTGAAAGACGTCTGTCCGCTGTGTGATGTATTGTGATAATACAAGTACTTCATGGAGTCTCCATTTGGTAAACAGAATGAAGAGTATATACTGGGAATACATTAGCGAAAATGACCTCAAACATTTTCATCATCATAGTGGTTTGAAGTGGTTGCCAGTCCAACACATATATATTATATATTTGTTAAGAGTCTCTGTCTGTAAAAGCTGCTGTCAAAATTACCTCAAATGGCAAAAATTGAAGTTAACTCAGGGAATAACTGCATCGGTTTTCTTTCGCAGTGGTTAGGTTTAGAGGAAAACTTTTGTTTGCAGCTTTGGGCTCGATGTGTTTTAAACATGGACTCAGCTGTGAGCTTTGATCGATATTTTTTTCTTAAAGTAAGCCGCTCAAAACCCTAAAATCTTTCAGTCAACTGGATGCTGTTAAATTTTGCAACATCTGCCCCCGAGAAAAACACTTTCCCCTTCAGTACTGTTGTTTAAGCCCTATAACTAAAGGCAGCAGTAAAACCCTTTATTCCCGCATCTCCATTAGAGACAAACAGCCAGACTGAAGAAATGTGTGGTAATAAAAAACAAGAAGACAGTTGTGCACAGAATCATTAGCACTGGTTAATCAGATGATGTAAAAACATTTGAGGTTTAATTTAAAGCTCCCATGAGAAATTTTAAGCTGGTTATGAAGCAGACTGCAGTTTAAAGAGACGCCTCTTCATGACCTTAAGGAGAAAAAAAGACAGAAAGCAAGAAGACAGATAATTTATGTGTAGTTATTTTTAATGCCTATACATGCAGCTGCAGTGTGAGGACACTTAACTCTCTTAACAAGAGAGTTACTTGAATTACAGGAAGTGGCAGCTGGTATACAGCTGAATCTTGGTCTGAAACATCACCTACAGCACAAAGACAACATTTTAGGACTGTGTTTGCCTAAGATCGTCTACTCATTGTGTTGATAAAGTTTTAAAGTTATGTGACATTTGTCTCAAGTGTGTAAATAGTTTTGGATGTAGAGTAGCCTACAATAGAGCTACTTGCTGTGGCTGAAGTTACTCACCACATTACTTATTAAACACTCTTAAAGAATCTTTTGTTTTTATGAACGGCTTCATCTGTTGATAGTTGAGAAGGTTTCTAGAGAAGTTTTCTACTGCAGGAAAACAGTAAGTGTAACTAGATTGGATTAACAAGAGCCAGCGAAGTTATTTATATTTGGAGATGAGTGACAAGAGTATGAAAGGCATGCTGCAAATCCCACCTTGTTGTGTAGCAGCGCAGGTCTTCTTACTCTTCTTACCAAACTACATTATAGATGAGGAGGGTCCAGTTTCTCATCATGTGAGTGCTTCTCTGGGACAATTGGGTCAGGGTGAGAAAACACTTGGTTATAGCTAAAACAGGTTGATATTATAAAATGACCAAAAACTAAAGGAGTAAAACACAATTTGTGGTGAATGAAACTATTTTTAGAAAGTAAATATTTGTTAAGAAAATGGCGAGAACTTTTTCATGTGACCGTCTTCATAAAAACAGAATCACTCAATCCAGTTTGACATTATTATAAAATCATTAAAATCAGAATTGAGTCTAATGATATCAAACCCAAACCCATTACTTTCTTACCTGAAGTCAGGTACCAGCTCTGCTATGGCCCCATGCTCAGCTCCACCAAACCACTTCTCCCCGCTCCTCCACTCTTACCACCCACCTCTCTTTGTGCTGCCTCCCCTCTCCTTGGCTGTTGCTTGGAGACTGCCAAGCCGACTCCTGTTTCCTCTGTATGCAAACTCGTGAGTGTGAATCTGCAATGGATATTTTTTTTTGTTCTTTAAACTGTGTGCTTAATGCACGCCTTGGCATCTTGCTGTGTGCTTGAGAGAGGAGTGTTTTAAATAATAAACAGCCAGGGTGGAGATTAGTCATTAATAAGACAACAGAGTGATGCCTGCAGCAGCACTCATTTATGTTGCATAATAAACATGATCTTTTGAGGCATGCTGTGTGTGTTGCACTTACATTTGTTTCTCTTATGAGTTATTTGACAATCTGTTAGAAGATTGTATTGTAGGGTCGGTTAGTATTTTGTCTGTATGTTTGGCAAAGACTAAATGTTGAAACTTAAACAGGCTAATGCTATGACTTTCATTCAAGAATAAGTGTTTAATGGTAAATTAAATTGTGTATTTCCATAGTCGGGGTTAAAATGTGGAACTCTCTACAGAATAATTTAAAGGGCTGCACAAACATTTTTCAGTTTAAAACAAAATATAAAGAAAGTAAAATAACAAAATATGAAGCTGATGAGTATTGTTTTGTGATATGCTTACGTTTGGACTGGGACACTGACTTTGCTTTTGTTTGTTTCCTTTTATGTGATTGTAATATTGATTGTAAGGTTCTAGGAAAATAAACATAAGTGGACGGACCATCTTACGTAATTGTTTATTTCTGTTTTGAGTGAGGGGCAGGTAAAATAAGCTTTGTCCTCTACCTGCTCCCTTTCGGTCATGTGCTGTGCTACATTTGTTAAATGCCTTTTGTATTTATGGAAATACTTAAAAATGACCATGAGCGGAACAAATAAAAAACGAAACGAAATGAAATTGACTCTCAACTAGGTTAACAATACTTGCATTTCTATAGAAGTGCTGACAACTATTTCAAATAGAACTTTTTTTTCTCCGCTGTATGAATAAATCTTTTTTTAAAAATCATCTTTAAATCAATAGTTATCATTTACTTGTTTATGTCTGGGTATTAAGGGGGATAATATATGGTGAGGGGGACATTATGCCAAACACAATCACTCCATATGGTGAGATAAGACCTCTCAGCTTGTATTATCTTTCTTGTGACAACCTACTCATACTATAATCCTTCAACTAAACATCTGTTGTGTATTTTTCTGGGAATTTATAATGTCTTAAAAGCTAAAACTATCTATAAGTATAATGAATAGGTATCTGGAATATTTTAATTAATCATCATGTACATCTTATATTGAGAAATTTGTACGTTGTGATTCTTTTGGTGCAGTAAATGTAAATATAAAACACTTAAAAATGAAGTCCTTATCACACTTTGATTTGTTCTTTTAAAAACGCCTCAGAACAGTTATTAATGTTCCATCCCTTGTTTTGGTGTTGGGTAACTTCTCAGCATCATTATCTTTCTGTTATTTGTCTATGGACTGAGTCTGTTAGCTGCTCAGGTTTGATCCTCTGTGGTTCGTGGTTGCTTAGACACAGCTGCATTTGTCTCTTCTTCTCCTGTATCTCTTCATCGTTAATGAGAAATGAAGACAAGAGAGAAAAGAATCATAGGTGAACCAACGCACTACTGGTGTCAAGCCATCATCACTGATATTTCTTTTTATGTTATGTTATTTTCAAACTTCAATTAACTAATTCCCTCTTGGGTTCAGCTCTGTGGGTTCTTCTGTAGCTGAGCAGAAAGCCTCCTATCAACCTTAACCCTCAAGCTAAATACAGATTATGTTAATTAAAATGTCTTAGAGTAGCTTTGGGGAAAGCTCTAACAAAAAAAAAAAACAGTTTAAGGGTTCGCATCAAGCTAGTAACCGTAAGAAATGTAAAGCTAAAGGAATAGATAGTTTTTTTTTTTAATTGGGACAGTAAAAACAGAGTAAATGGCTGTTTTAAATGATGAATTAAAGGTTAAAATCATTAGAGGAAGTGAAAGGAACATGTTTTTTTAAGTTCTTAAAGTAAATAAATGATATAAATGACC